GAGGCGGAGGGGAGGAAAAGTATCATAATTGTCACAGAGCAAGTTGGGAAATGATAATTTAAAAAGAATTAAGAGTTTCGAGGAACGCGTTCCACCGAATCGCGATTCCAAAGATCGATTAATTTGCGACACCGAGACTTATATTAGTGTCATTTATGGATTAATCAGTGGCCTCCAACTATGTCCGATCCAAGGGTCCCGTTCCTCGCTTGTGCTAAATCTAAATCAAATCCAGCGTAAACTTAAATCTAAATTGTATATACTCTTAAAAGTAAACACCCTGTTCCTCGTCTTTGCTAAAATGCTGAACTGACTCTAAATCTCTATTTAACTTAGATTTAGACCTGGTTTAGTTTAGATCTAAGAGTAGTCTAGAAGAGAAAGTCCGTTTCTCGCCCAAGCGAAAATTTAGACTCCTGCGAAAGCTTTGTCTTAAAGGAGGAATAAAGTTAGACTGCCTTGACATGTCTAAATGCTATCCAAAATGTTGGGATGAATAGGCAGAAGGCCCAGTATCAAACATTTCCTGGGGTACTTCTTACGCATTTGAAGGTCCCGATCGCATGTCCCAGAAAATGTTAGATACTGGGCATTTTCTACTTCATTTCAATATTTTACAGACTAAGAAATTTAGTTTCAGAGTTAGCAAGGCGAGAAGCAGGCCACAGGTGCAAAATTGATTTGCTGAGGTCTCCAAGCCAACATCGGCGTTTCATCCGGACTCTGATCGAACCGAGCTGGATTCCTTCGAAACTGCTCGCATCTGTTATATACGGTCTGACTTACCAGGACTGGAGCGTTGATTGTGGTTATCAACTCGGATCCGTCTCCGACGGAGTCCTCCTCCGCGAAGAAGAACCTCTTCGTTTCGTAGTATTCCACAGTCCCGTTGCTAAACGCCCCGGTCACGTTCTTCTCCACGATCTCTCTGCAGGAAGAACGACGATGTCGACCCAGGAGACAGCAGAGCACGGCATCGAGAAAAATCCCAGCCTACCGGAACACGTAGGGACCGACCTCCACCAGCTCCAGGGCCTTCCCACCGAGGAATTCCAAGGGATTGGTCGCATTCAAGAGTCTCACCTCCACGCGCGCCGACTCGAGATTGAACGAGGGAGAACCCCACCCGACTTCCCTGCCTTCGACCAGCTATGGTAAGTCACAGAAAAAAACGTTTCGCCTTGATCAGCGTTGATTGGAACGTGATATGTATCTGCAGTCGTTCCCGAACGTTGACTTTTCCGAATAACTACGAGGTAGTGATCCAGAACAAATAGTGCTGCTGATTCAACTACAGTTTCGATGCGATCGACAAATGAATCTTTATTAATTTAATATCAATAGCTCCCAACTCCCAACAACTAACAACTTTCGAAGCAGGCCACGATTATTCGAATTAAAACTTTGCCCGATTGCTTCCCATAACGTACACGGGAAACATCGCAAAAAAATGAGGGATTCGTGCGATTAGATGAATACATACCTCGCCGACTTGAACCACGAGAATCGGAATGATCCAGAAACACCAATTACGTGTGGTAGCACACTTCATCTTATTATCGAATCGATATCTTGCGATGGAAATCCGGTCCTACGGAAAATGACATTTTATGAGGCGCAAAATTTGGCACAAATAAAATCGCGTAGCTGTTGAAATTCCGTGGAAGATATTCCTATTGAAGGAAACGAAAGCTTTTAAGCAGTTGGCAGAAACTACTTCATACTAATATTATTACTAATGTTTTCTCATTCCCCATATTCTTCCATTGGAAAATCCCAATATGTTTTCAACATGTACGAGATTTTTTTTTACAATGAACGTTTTATGTGAGATACCTTCTACGGAAAGGAGGAACAAGGAAACCAAATTATGCATTAAAGGAAGAATAAGAAAAGACTTTGACTGACCGTCACGGTAGATCCAAACGCCAGCAGCTCCTGCTCTATTGAGATCACCCGCTCCCCCTGTCTTTATAGCTTTTCTTTCAATATCCAGGCTTACGTAGGAGTAAATAGCAGTGATCACGTGTGTGGGGAAGATTATGGTTATCAGCGACGGAGTGACGTGGATTGACATGGGACGTGATCGGGGAGACGTCACGATGCCGTTCTTTTATCGCTCAAAATGCTGTCGATGTATCGATAAACGGCTGTCTTATCTGAGTCCTCGTAAGTCACTTTTTACGAGGCTGATGCGCGTACCTCAATGAAATGACGTCAATCGAATGTTTCAGCATTTTGACTATGTTACCTTTGCCATTTTTGGCACGGTTTCGCAGTTCGCATCGATGGCGAATAAAAAAACAGGAAATCTTCGTTGCGAGCGAAGCAGGAATGTTCGCGAGTTTTCTCTGAGACTCCTCATTCAACAGCATTCAAACTTTCCTGGATTCTCCTTTGCGTAAGTGGGAGCTTTTGTTTCTGATTACATCTATAAATTCGTGGGGGGTTTGTCGAGGACGATTAGTAGGGCCCCTCCTTTTTGCGAGGATCCAAAACAGCAAAACCTCCGTCCAGAACCGCAGAAAATGTAATCCAAAACAGATCTGCATGCCCGAGTGCTCAACCACCAGTGTTGCTGATACTAAACATTAGATAGTCGGAAGCTGAGAGAATTCTGCGTAAAATTGAAGTTTTTCGACATTTATATGGATATCTGGAAAGCCTCACGCTGTCCCAAGTCCCTATCTAGAAGGCATTTTTCATGCATTTTTAAGAGTCCATTATTTTACTTGGTCGACATGAGATCCTCAGTTGTTCTTCGTTTGTGCTCGAAATCGTTGTTTCTTGCACCGCGTGAATTCCGGGTTTTGGGATTCTGAATTCTATTGAATATATTGCAAGCTACTCACAATCCATTTCACCGAGAAACTTCCCGACATTTCCCTCCAAGTCTTTGCGACATGCCCCCCCCCCCCACCTCCCCCTCTCCCAAAGGCACCCAGTTCAATGCAAGGTGAAAGTGGAGGATATGATTGCCCTCGACACCGTCAAGTACATCCAGCAACCCTGCCGTTCGCCCTGTAGTTTTCGTATGTGAGTTTCTGTGGTTCTGGCCCATATCTTATCAGGTTTCAGATACAAATATTTTGCGGTTTTGGATTATAGCCCTTCTTTTACACTAGATTATAAGACAAGATTTCTCTAAAACTTCATCCTTGAAACACCAATCACTTTCATGACACTTGAGTATTCTTCTTCTTGCGTATGGCGGGGAGGGGGGGGGGTGATCAGCAACATTTATAACAGGGGTTGCGCTAAGTTTCTTGCCCTGGCCTCCTGCTCATGCATCCTGGGGGTCCCGGGACCCCCGCGACGCACAGGCAGAAGGCCTAAGACTGCTGGATTGAATATCATACTGCTTGGTTATGTTAAGTCAGCAAATAAACATGGATTGCTGACTTTTACTTTTTGGGGGAATACTTCAAGATTCCCTCATGCTTCACTTGGAAAGTAACCCCCTTAATTATCAGGGGACCCTTCCATATCAGACCTGAGGGTCCCGGGGACCTCCTACGGCAAGAAACCCAGTGCAACCCCTGTATAAGTTTGTCACGGTTAGAGATCCAGTTGGAGTAAGCTCATGAATATATGGTGCCTGCAAACGAACGGAGTGGGCACTGATGGATAATATGTTGGATGGTTTGGTCTTCGAAACCGCCGTCACATCTGAGGATGGTCTTGATTTTCCACCAGCGTAAAAAGTGGGCACATCGGCCGTGCGAAGTGCGGATACGGTTGAGCGTGGTCCACTGCTTCCTCGGCAGGTCGAAGCCAGCAAGTTCTGTGGTAGGATCAGAAACGAGTCTTTTGTTGGGGACGATGGCTTTTGACCCACATGGCTTTCCGCTGTTCCTCCTGGTCAAAGGAGGACTCGTAGAAAGCGTTAGCTCTGACCCAGGTCGGGTTCCGGGATTTTAGCCGGAACCTAGGCGGAATTTATAGGTTCGCATTAATTGGAAGATCATGACTGGCTCTTATTCGGCTAAAGACGCGTGATGTCTGCGGATGTTGGGAGGTAGAATATGGGAGAGTGATGGTATACCAACTTTGATATAAAATCCACTTTTATTTTTATTTTAGAGTCCCGGTAATCAGACGCATCGATGCGTTGAGTTGGGCGTCCAAGCCCTCTTTGTGTGCACTGCTCGACCAAACTGGAGCACAGTATTCTGTGGGCGAGTAAACCAGTGCTAGTGATGCTTTTCGTAGTGTGCGCGCCCCGGCATCCCAAGAGGTTTCGGCCAGTTTGCGCACGATGCTGACCCTAGCCTTCACTTTGTCACGCGTCCTTTCAAGGTGGGGTCTGAAGGTTAAGCTGCGGTTCAGAGTAACGCCCAGACATTTTGGCGTGGCTTCATTATTTACTTGATGGTCGCAGATTGTGACATGAAGAGTCTCTTTAGCGGTGCGGTTGTCGAGGTGGAATGCGGTGACCGATGTTTCAATCGGGTTTAGGGCGGAGTCTCCATCTTTGGAAGCACTTCGCTATAGTGTCCAGGCCAGTGTTGAGGGTGTCGCCGATGGCAGAGTGTTGCACCCTGCGATGCGAGCGCAATGTCGCCGTAGACAAACTTTTGGGTTTCATCTTCAAATCATCACTATTGCGAAGAGGTATACTGATGAGTGGAGCCAATATAGCGACATCCCTCCTCGAGCGAGGAAACTGCTACTGCACAACTCGAAAGTAAAACCTATAGAAAATTAGGAGGCGCGGGTTCGATCCCAACAGTACCCTGGTGTACTTTCGGGTTCGTGTTCCTTTACTTCCCCATCCGCCATTACCGATTCACAATGAAGAATCGATTCAAATTGAGTCATATGGGTGTAGGTCATGGACTGTAAAACGTGTTTCCTTATCATCATTAAAAAATACAACGCTTTAATTGCGGCGACAGTTTGCTCTAAACTGTGGTTCATAACCACAACAGCCTATAACGTCCCAATATGGATTTTGCCAGAAATGAATAAAAGAAAATATGGCCTCAAAGTTAAGAAGGCTAAACAATTCTTGTATCCTTATCCAGGGTTGGAGGTTCCTTTTTCTGGGTAAGCAGGACTGGAGAACAAGTGTTCTCTTGAAATGTGACAGTGAATTGGCTTTGTAATCCCAGATTGTGTGACACCAACAAAGGAGAGTTGTTAAGCAGAAACTGACAGCATGCCTGAATATTTAATATCTTTACTCTAGGCTACACCTGGTGAGCTCATTAGAAATGCCTGCAGATTATGGCAACATGGCACAGACATGCAGGGTATGGAAAGAAGAATGAAATTTGACCTCTATATCTCTGCTCTTACTACAGTAGAGCTATTTTCGCAAAACTTGCATTGTGCAGACTGATATGTTCCCTATAGACTTCTGAAATTTAATCCAAATTGGCAAAGCAAAAATAAGGCAATGACTACATATTCAAAGAAATTGGGAATTGAAAAAAAAAAGGACTCCAATCCCTTCTGAGTGCCTTGTCTCATGTAAAACAATAGAAAATCTGATTAACTTTTTGAGCAAATTCTGCTATGGTACTTATTGATTTAACTGTTATTGAAATAAAGTTAGGGATACAACAATAATATCTGCAAGAGAAAGCGAGCCAAAAGAAGTTAGATGCAGCCTGGATGAAAAGCAGGCAAAGCACTTGGGCATAACTTCCATTTCACTACCAGTATAAGCTCTTGTCCTTTTTCATTGTCCAACTTCTTTTAATAGAAATAAATTGGAGAATAAATTTGAAGATAAGTAGGAAATATCCCTCTATGCACAGTGAAAGATTCTTTTTTTTTTTATCCTTCCAATGGGAGTGGAGATTTATTGATTAAAAACATTTTGGCTTTTTTTTGCCATATTTTATAGATGCAAATAAGCCAAAACAAACTTTTCCATCGATGGCACAAATATTGCAGTGAAGAAGCCCAGCTTGAAATAGAATTGAAGATATAGGCTATACCAGTGTAGGTTGTCAGCTGAAGAAGCTTCTTCATATGAAGGAAGTGCCAGACACTTAAAGAAAAGAACCATACTTGAATAAGCACTTAATCACCATGAGTATGCTTACAACATTAGACAACATTAGTGAGGCAATCAAGCTGAAATGTCAGACTTTGTCGCAACAATAAAAGATAGATCAAGCTTGGTAAGTTTAGTCCTAACACCATGTTGAAGAAAAGGGCAGTAAGTAGAGATAAATTCTTCCTAACACTCAATGAAAGAGAATTAAGGACATTTATTGAACACCAATGGTTTACTTCAAATGGTTTTTCCTTTAGATTATGCTTACCATATACTCTGAATGATTTTGTATGCCCTTCTAAATGAATAGCAAATGGCATGGGAAAATTTGATGGTACAATCTGATCATCTTGTTCAAGAATATCCTGAGGTAAGTTTCAATCAATACATGTCCATATGCTTCAAATTAGCACAGCAGATGAACATTCCAGATCTTCTTTCCTCTATTCATATTTAAAGCAGAAGCAAAATGGTAGTTGTGTTGTGGACATGGACAAGGCCACCAGTCCTTCCTGCCAAGAAGGATAAGAATTGCATAAACACAAGCCTGTGTCTTAAGGAGTGAGATGGTTATGAAGCTATTCCACATAGTTTCATGTGAATGTTCCTCAGCATTGAAGGATGGATGTGCAAGCAAGAAAAAATGGTCACATTTCATCACATATACTTGCCCCACTTGGATGATGCATTCCCATGGTTAGGAATGACCTTCACGGCCTCTGGTTTCTGTCTCTTGCTCTCTTGCTCATTGCTGAAATAGCAAATAGGCTAAATTTCATGCTAATTCCTTATGAATTATTTTTACCATTCCTCTGACATCAGAAACAGAAAGATATTACATCAGTCATCCAGCAAAAAGCTATTATACCAATAAACTGAAATAATGGAGTACCTTGATTCTTGTGAATTGTGTTCCTGATGCCATTCACCATCCTGATACATGTTATCAGTGTATGTGGCCCATTTGCTCTGGGTTTGTTGTACATTTCCCAGATCCACTCCTGAAAGATTCACTATCATTAGCACCTAATGATAACACCAGCCATATATGTGCACAAAAATTAACATAAATGAAAAAGTGCATAAGCATACAAAATAAATGCCAAACAGGCATTAAAGAGCTCTGGGACCTGTTGAAGCCATGTGGACACTCTGAATGTCATCAACAGCAAGAAGGGCTACAGAACCAGCTGATCCTTTTCGTTCACCCTGCTGATAGTTCAGGTGCTGAACCTGCAGTCGACAGTCCTTCCCACTCCCCTCATAAAACATCTATGAATAAGCAAAAAATGTACTCGTGAATGCCAAAGAGTCATATCCTTAAAATTAAAGCCTAGCATTAAGTTGATAAGTTTTACTCTCAGAGATGCCAAATTATTCTCTGTAGGCTGGCAGATAAATATCATGATTGAGGTTCAGGGTTGGCCATATTTAACAGCTTATATGAGGAAATAAATCCATTTCTTGAGTTTCTAAGTACTGCTTTCAGGGGTAATTCTTGATGTTCCAATGCTTTCTTTATATGTAACATATGAAGAAAGCATTGGAACAGGAAGCTATTTTCTGAAATAGGGAAATGAATTTATGAACCAGTTACACCTAGAGAGATTTCAATGCACAGTAACATCGCATGGTCTTGTGAACCTTAAAAAGTCAGTTGACTTTCTTTGCAGTTTTCACTTCCAAGTAGTGACTTGAAAACTGGGGCTCTATGGAACCTGGTATAAGTATGAAATCATGTAATTATAAGAGGACCCATAGGAAACTTGCACAAAGTGCAACTCTTCTTCTTCATTGGCACTCCATGTGATGTGTCTCAAAACCTCATGTTCCATATGATACAAGGAATGTATCCTGATATATTCCACATTATTTTACCTGAAATCTTGTGTTAGAAACAGCATATCTGCTCATATAATATCTTGCTAGTAAGTAGCAATATTCAGGGAGCTATTAAGTAATATTTGATTAAAACATAATGGGTCAAGGGCCTCTTACAAAATTTTTAAATTACTAAGTGAGATGGGACTTAGGGTTCTTGATGAATTTGGAAACTTAGGCTATGCTTCATATTTAACTTCAGCTATGCCACATATACATTATACCTGGAGTCTGCAAGATCTAATGCTTTTTGCTAATCATCTAAAATGACATGGTCTATGTAATTAAAACTTCCTGCATGGATTACATTAGGTTTAGGTTCAGCCTGAATAAGTGTAACTTCCATAGGCCTTGTTCCCCCAAAATTTGGAGAAAATTGAATGAAAAAATGCAGTGTTCTGCTTTTTTACGCTTCCTTTATAATTTTTTTTAAATAACTGCAACATCCACTTGTTGCACTTCTCATGCATGGGTATCAGAGATGTGGAAAAAGGCATCAAAACTAAACTGAAAAGACCTGTATAATTTTGGGTCATTAATCATTATGGTAATGGCGTTCAGGCAAAACTAACCATAACGAGGTTACATATATTAAGTACTGTCTTCGCTTATCAACTAAAGACAAACAACCAACGTCAAAACGAGACCAAAAGCACAATAAGATTAAATTCTACGCCGACTGAAGGCAGGTTTATGGGAAACTGTGAACCTTGCTACTCAGCCTTCTAGGCTTAGGCCAACATCAAAACTGAAATCAGGCCTAAAAGCCTAGTTGAACCTATACCAAGAGAAGGGCCTAACGTTAGGCCTATGGAGGACTGCACCTTCTTCAAAGACTGCTTTTCTCCACACAGCTTGCATTGCCAGCGAGGTGATTTCTTCACCTGCTGTACTTGGAACATCTCGCATTTATAGCACCTGGTTACCATGAATTCCTGAGACATTCTCCGAGACTTTGAGTCTATAGTTTGCCTGATCTAATTGAGCTTAGTGGCTTCTCGAGTGCTTGAAGGCAGGAAACCAGCTCCAGTGTTGCTCAGTCATTCTCTAGTGTGATGATTAGGTGGCGGCTGCAAAAAGTTCGTGGAAACATGTTTATGGCAAATTTGGTGCACAATATATATTCTTACGCAACATTTCCTTCAAAGTGTAATCCTCGTGGAGTTCCTCGCTTTTCATAGAGTCCATACAATTTCTCAAATGCTTCTTGGAATCCAACTCTCGAGAGCTTCTTCAAAGCCGCTTTGACTTCATCAGCACTCGCAAACATGTGTCCCTTTATAATTTCCTTCAATCTCGTGGAAATATGAAAGTGGTATGGAGCAATGTCCGGATAGCATGGCAGATGTGTTAACATGGTCACAGAAAGTTTGCCGAGGAATGCACGGACCAGGAGCGTTCAATGCTCAGGACAATGTATTGCAGTTCCACGATCGAGACGCACACAGGCGGGGGTTCGCTTACTTAAGGCTAACTAAAAGTCTCCTGACTAGCTAAAAACGACTAGTGTGAACAAGTTCTTAGCGTTTCTACTTACGAAACCACAAGTTTTCATGGTGTTGGCACTTTACGAAATGCCTTATGTAACAGTTTTCCACGAAGTTTATGAAGCGACAGTATAACTACCCTGTGTCTTTCTTTTAACATCTGTGCAAAAAAATTTACCGCCAGCATGTGCCGATTCCAATTAAGTGAACGAACGACACGACAGTGAGCTGACGATTGCATGTGCATATCTGATTTTTCCATCGGTCTCTTCTAAAAACGTCAGCGAGTGATCCCGTCAAAATTGTATTCATTATAAAACGATCGTGCAGACATTGTTCATTCCGTTTTCTTCTAATCGAAGCAGGATTTCCCAATGCGGTTGAATACTGCTACGGATCTAAAATAACATCTGTGTTCGTTGCAGGGAGCAGCAAAAATTCGTGAAGACACGACTGACAAGAAGCCTTTTCCTCACCTTTGCTAAACTTCGAATTCTTAACTAAACCTAAACTTAATTTAAATCTAAACTGTATCTAATGTAAAAGAGATAATTTTGCATCGAGGTGAGGAACAACCGACTTTTCAGGTCAAGTTTACATTAAGTTTATATTCAGATTTAGATTAAGTTTAGCAGAGGCAACAGGCCCCAGGAAAGGGCACTGAATTCCCGAGAGCCTTCTTCCACCAAGAAGACTCTTTCTTCCCTCCTGGAAAGAAATATTTTACTGCAATATGCCTTCTCCGGTCGTTGGTGCTATTGCAGAACCTGTCTGGCGAATCTGTGAGGATGTTGGGTCGTTTCATTCGTTTGCCGTTGGTGGGTAAGGAAGGTAAGGTGGAACTGGGACCGCATTATTTCCTCGAGTTGGACTTATTGCCGATCCTCTAGAGTTCGAAGATTAGATTCTCGGTAAATGGTAACGGGTGTTCGGAGAGCTGCTAACGTCATGAAACCCACATTTATTACTCTCTTGTGAGTCTAAGAAAGGGACTGATATTTTATTTTATGTGCACATATGCCATGCTATCACATATCGAATCATAGTGGGAAAGTCAATCGAGAGCAATCGAGGACGGTAAAGCGTCCAACTTCATTTAATAAAATCCCCATTCATTTTTACCCCCCCCCCCCCCCCCCCCCCCTGAGAAAGAAGTTTGTACGCATCAATCACGGCATTTCTTAATGCCAAGGCCTTGCGATCTAGACTTAATTATTGGGGTGGCAATGAACTTAAATGAGGTGTTTCAACCTAACGAGCACCGCTCAATGCAGCACCAGCTCCTGTTCATTTCAACGATGCACCACTCCCCCCTACCCCGGGAATATTTTCCTCTTCAAATTTTGATTTGATAGAAAATGTATATATAATTGCGCCGAGACGTTTACATTGAAAGCTACGTCACACGTTACCTCACGTTTAGGTTTGTGGATTCCTCCCTCGAACAGGTTAAAGAATTATGCTTAAAATCGGCATTTCTTTTTGCCGCGAAAACTTGCAGTCTCTTCGCAGACTCTGCTTTTATCTCTGATCTGAAATTCTAGTCCCTTCCAATCTTTTTCAAGGAATCTGCGAAAAATTAAGAAGAATGGAGGCACTTGCGTTGATAGCATCCCATTAAAAATATTTCAAGTAAAAAAAAAAGTCTGCCCAGACAGCGCAATTAGTTGAGCCTTCTGCCCCTCCCTGGGCGACAACCATCTTCTGGGGGAATCCCCGGGAATTCTGGCGAAAAAAGAACGGAAAAGCCTTTTTTTTTCGCTGTTCCGGGTAATGCGACCCTTCCCTTGTGAAAAAAAAAGGGATTTCCCCCCCAACCGTTCTACGCATTTTGCTTCCTTTCCGAGAATTTTGATACTTCAAAAGTCTTTCTNCGTTCTACGCATTTTGCTTCCTTTCCGAGAATTTCGATACTTCAAAAGTCTTTCTTCTCCTTCAAAAGTGACAGATGCCTGCAAGGGGTTCTTGTTCCCCCAAGGCTAAACCGCGCATCTGACCGCCACCCTTCAATAACAGAGCGCTTCTTCGGATGATTATACAATCAGTTAATTATACATCAGCTGCCTTCGCTTGAGGATTAAAAAAATGGGTGGCAGTGGGTATCTGAATTGCAACTGGGACGGACCAAGTTCCTTGCTTGAACCCAGCAGCGCAAAATCTTAAGCGATCGCTTCCTAACCGCGTACCTAGACCTGAGAACGACGACTGGAACACCGGATGACCACTTGGCAGCTCTGGCGCCTCGTGCTTCAAGTGCCCCTTCGCGTCATGGTACAGGTGCCTCTTCGCACAAAGGGCTCTACGATATCTGATAACGATTATCTCCTTTCCGGTAGCTTTTGTTTTTTTTTTTTTGTTGAGTGGGTCGCGTGCGATTTGATTCCCACTCCTAACAAACTGACCTTGACAGATCGGGCTTCGTCTCTTTTCCCCGCCTTCGTCTCGTCTTTTTCATTCATTCACGTATATTTCGCCAGAGGCAGATATGGTTCAAGAGAGTTTGGAATAGCTGTTATATGCTACGTTGCGTTTTGGTCTCGACTAGTTAGTACAACGCATGAATACACTCAAAAACAATTGTATACACAAATAAGTAGGCAATGCAATAAATAAACAGAGGCAGTAACGAAGAGGCACGGAAGCCGGCAGCTTCTATCAAACCGAACACAGAGGGATTTTTTTGCAGTAATTCGCCCCGGCTCCGAGAACGATGCTCTTGTTACAACTAAATGCTGGTGTATCTCCACATGCATGTAATTGATCTTCCTCCCCTCATTCTCGTTGATCCTCGAAGCAAAACCGTCCGCGACCTTGAGACCGCCATCAGGCTTGAATTTCACCCGCCAAGACGAGAAAGCATTATTCCAGGCGTTACTCACTCGTCCAAGCGCTCATAAAATGCCTGACATGCCAGGAATACAGTTGGGCTGGGTGGGGTCGCGCCACGCCCAGGTACCTTTTTTCAGTAGTTGGTCCCTCCCCTCCAGGGAATTTTTTCTTCCTGATTACTGTCCTTCCCCACCCTCCGTGCTGTAGTGTGAGGGTCACAACCTTCCCCTGGCGAGGTCACTTTCCCCTTTCCCTCGTTCAATAAGTCCACAGAATTCTCCAAGTCAACGAACTTGGAAAAAGTCCCCTCCCCCCTCTGAAATTAGTTTTTGGCCATGCCTCTACACACAGTATCACTAGGGTTATCCAGCAGAAGCCACCCCCCTTTCCGTGTGGCAATGCGCCCAGGCACACTTTCCAAATTGGGCTGCACCCTGCGCCTCAGGCAATTACAGCTCTTTTAAATCAGTCAACATCGTCGATAGAGCAACGAAGAGAGACGAAGAAAGGAGACTCCGAACCCTCCTGCCCAACCCAAGTGCCTTCTTCACTTGTAATCAGTTATTTCCGTTGGCCGCGAAAGGGCCTGCCCTGCAGCCAGTTCGAAAAAAAAGTTAGTCACGTTCAGATTTGATCCGGGTCAGGACTTCAGGTTGAAGGTTTCATAAAAGGTCTTCATAAAAGGTCTCAAGAGGGATATTTTGCTTGCAATGACAATGTGAGTCGAGGTCGTCGATGTGCGCATTATCTGTGAGCCCTTGTTTGTCAGCCTGAAGCCGGATTTCCCTCGCGTCATCGAGTAATAATTGCAGAATTTCGGTATGGGACTTTGTCTCCCTTTCGAGTCAGATCTGACGTCACTTCGGGCAGAAATGAATCGCATAAAACAAACCCATAAGGCGACGATGTAAAAAAAAAAAAAAAAAAAAACAGATGCTGGATGCACATAACTCTGTCAGGCTGAACGGCATTCGCCTTTCAAGTGTCCACTCGTCAACGTGGGTGAGGTCGGATGAATCCCCCCTCTTCTTAAAATTTTCCTTATGCTTGTTCTTATTCGTTATTTGATTTTTCCTTTCCGTCATTTTTATTGTTCCGTACGTCGGGGCTAATATGTTGAGGCTGAGCTGGTTACAGCCATCTCTTATTTCTTGTCCCCCCCCCCCCCCCCCCCCCCCTCTATACCTCTTCAGCTTCCCCAGCACCAACAATGCATTAAGTATTAATTTCTATGTTTAATTTAGTTAAATGAAGGATAACTTGCAAATTTTTAAAAGTTTTATTCATATTTTATAGTGATTTGAGTGATTTTGCAGTCAATCGGCGCCCTGTGCTCGTAGCCCCCTCGGTACGGCTCTGCCTGTTCTTCCTGAACTGCGTCGAGTGACATCGTGAACGACATGGCATCCACGACATTTCAATTTCGGATGACATGACATTTTGAATGTCATGTCACCCGTCCAACGGTTTCTTGCATAAACGATTAAAATATCAAGGTAAATTTTTTTTTTAAAGAAAACTTACGAAGAAATCTCCCAGACCATTGAAAATCTTGCATATAAAACTTTCAAAGACGTTCTCACCACCTAACTTTTCTTTTCAAGTAACCTTGGAAATAAAATTGCTTAGAAAACTTTCTGGTATACTTTTTATGCGTAGAATACGTACCGCTCCGTACAGGATCTGAAGATGGCCGCCCCATTCTTAAATACCCCAATGTATGCGACACCGCAAATTCTGTTTTTTTTTTTATAATATCACAACGCTATATGACGTCACAAAGACTGATGCAATGGCATTGGCAACTATAGATTTTATCCTAGGGATGGGTTGCCGCTGAAAATTTGGAGGAGAGATGTCAAATTTCGGCCTAAAAAAAATAGGGCAGAGCTCCATTTTTGGCATCTGAAAACAATTCACCTGACATATCGGACCTCTAAAAGTGGGATCTGCTCGTATAAAGGCTCTATCGACACAGTCTGTCCGAGTCGAATTGCAACCAACGCGAATGCACGGCGTCTGGATAGATATATGAGTGATTTTGTCGCCCTGCAAATAATCTTTTCGAAAACTAATCGCACCAATCAGCAACGGAAGAAATCCGACGAGATCTTTTTCGATCATCATTCAGTTCGCCTTCCCGATGAGAATCGAACGGAATTCATGGAATACCGCGTCGGTGGTTCCCAATTTCCCAAAATCGCATCTTTTGACTAGATTTTTGCGTGGAACCGGCCGCAATCCGCTCGTGAGCGAGCCCTGCTCAGATCGCGAGAAGCTTTAGTTCTCGGATGGATACAAAGATGACGCCACCTGATCCCGTTTCTCAAAGCGACTTCTAGCTTCGGGCAGGCCGGATTTCATCATCTCAGTCGAGAATGACTTTTTAAATGGAGTGAATTTTTTTTCCCCTCGGAATCCTCCGCATGGGGAGTGACGGATGATCGTCTAACGACTGAATTATCCCATTCCCCATGTGGGAATGGAGAAGCGATTGTCGCGAATGCGCCGAGAAGAATGGAAGAAAACCCCCCGTGGAGCAGGAGAATGCAGGAGCTGGATTAATGCGGGGAAATTGCGTTAAGAGAGCACGGTCGGGTCATTTTGTAAGAGGTCCCATTTCGGTGTTGAGCTAGCTAAAATTGCCGTCTCAATTGTCTCATAATTTTCTCTCTAATGCGCCTTACGTTTACGGGGCAGTTTAGCAGACCAGGAAAATGAGTCCCTGCTTGCCCTGGAATGCAATCAAGCCGTCGAAAATGACATATATATATATTTATTTATTTATTTATTCTATTAATTTCCACGGAAACGTTGTTAATTTAGTGTTGCCAAAATTCGGGGAATTTTCGGGGAATTTCGTGTGGTCAAATTTCGTCCTCGATCAAGAATTTTTGCCGCGTCACCGTTGTCGTCCTCGATAACCCAGTCAACAACGGAGTCTTTCGTAAACAAAGACTTTCGTTTCGTCGATCGCGAACATCATTGCCCAAGACCACGACTCGCCGCCCGGTCCCCTCACGACGCCCGCCGGTCCGAACCCGAGAGACTCCGAGAGGAGTCTCCTCGCGAGACTCCCGGGGGAGTTTCGGGAGGAGACTCCCCCGGGAGTCTCTCTCTCGCACGCGCCCAGACGCGTCGAAGGCTCGAGATAAAGGCTCTGCGCGACCTTGCGGTTCTCACGGATGGAGGCACTCCGCCGTCCCCTCGCGAGGCGGCTCGTTTTCGCGACCTCATTCTTCCGGTCATTACCATCGTTCGTGACCATCGGCGAGGGGAGTAAAGGCCATCGAAAACCGAAAGTTTCGCCTCCTTGGCAAATGTCCGATCTGCCAACCACGGTCGATCTCTGTTCCGAATCGCCTATCGCTCGAGTACCAGACCCCGAGGCACAAAAACTTCTCCACCCTTTCTAATTCCATCCCTCAGCCCCCCCCCCCCCCTCCACCCCCTGTAACAAGTAAGGCGCACTGCACTGTAACTAAACATCTCCAGAGGAACCATAAGCTGGATTTTGTTGAGGCCGATTGCGATTCTCCAAACGAGAATGACTAAATCAGTGACGTTTCTCAGTCCCGCTGTATTTGAGCCACATCCAAGCGGGTCTTTGCGCCTAAATTTTCGGCGTAACTTCAGTCGTCACGGCGAGACGAATCATCCCTTAATACGTATCTGTGCATCTGAGTTACCTGCTAACGTTACGTGACCGGAAATCTCCAGCATGTAATCTCTGTATGAATATTAATGTTCACTGATAAAATTATGCCTAGGATTTCTGCTTCTACCTGGTGAAATGAGTGATTAATTTCACCCGGAGCTGGCCGGAGTTCAGCTCCTGTCCCTCCAGGTTCGAGAGACTTCGTGCTTCTGAAATGCTTAACAAGGAACTTTCTGAAATGCTTAACAAGGAACTGCCGGTGCCCTTGAGTGCCCCAAAGTAGACATTTTTGTTTAATTACTGCACGACAAAAAAATCACGAACGGTACTCACAAATTCGCTTCGGTACACCCCCGGAACTATCATTTTCTAAATTAAAAAAAAAGATCTGCTCCGAGAAAGAAAGAAAACTTAAAATTATATCACGTTCCTGCAGTTTAAGGGATCACGGGGTGACGAAGCGGCTCTTTCTTTTTATATCGTTACCCTTCGCCCGCTGACCCAAGTGGGTGGATGATTCGGCCTTCATATCTCCTCGAGCGGAACGAAACGAAACTCACATTTCTGCAAGTATTATGAAAAGAAAGTCGAAGCACTTCGCCAGGGACATTCTTGCGCAAGTGCCGCATTAGCACGGGACTGCAATTTTTTTTTGGGGGGGGAGGGGCGGGGCGGGGCGGGGGTAGAAGGCTTTACTTGCACGTGGATTGCGTTAAATCGCACTTTTTAAGCCAAAAAATGTTTAAATTAAAAGGTCATCATATTCTAGTCGAACAAGAACGGTCAAGGAGTTTCACCTTGGGGTTAGTGATGGTTCACGTCGCTCTCCGGTCCACGACCCCCCGGAAACTCGGCCGCGATCGAGTTCAAGACTCGACGTAGGTAATAAGGCGGTGGAAATTTTCCATGCCGTCGCGGAAGGAATAGAGGCGTTACAAGACCCTGAGGGTGTCGGTTATTTTTTGTCATCATCTTGTCATCATTATTATAGTATTCGTAAAATAATAATGGGCGCTCCCCAGAGCTTCCACGGAGGATATAGCCCTTTCTTTTTTCCCTAATTGTTCGGAATTTCGTACCGCGATCACGCGAATTCCACATCGCTGGTAAAGCCCCCTTCATTTTTCATATCCAGCATGCAACACCCAAGGAGTCTTGCTGAAGTCTCCGCCTGGCGGTGAAGGAATGACTGATGGGTCCGTCCCGCCCTCTGCTTCCCTACCGCTTTTTTTTTTTGGACACTGTGTAATTAACCGTTTCCCGAGACTCCTCAAGAGCGCGCCCACTGGAAATCCCTATCTTCGCCCGACCGTGTATGGAATAGACCCGGAGGGGTGATATAGGGGGGGGGGGGAAGGGGTAGGGGGTGGAATCCGGTATGAAGGCAACGGTGCATGCCAGCTTTTCATGAGCCATTGATGGACTATACGAGCTATTCTTGTGACATCCCTGGATGCGGCGGCAGGGAGAAGAATGAATGAGAATTTCGCAACGCCTTTTCTATGGCGTCAATTCTTATGCTTTCATTCGCTTCCCAATTTACAGTGATGAAGTTTGGCAGTGGCGTAGCGTGGTTGGCATGGGCCCTGGTGCAAGGAATGATACGGGGCCCGCTGTCTAATTTCTTACTATTTCTTACTATGTGGACATCGTATTTTTTTGCTAGTTTTCTCCGGCAGTATATAAATCGTCGTCGGTCGCTGAAGTCAGTGTGGAAGGGAGTGGCGGATGTAGGGGGGGGGCTGTTTCCTAGTTCCCAGTCCCCCCCCCTATCACCTGCCACCACCCTTCGTCCTATCGCCTTATTCAGTTTTCGTCTGGGGTAAAAACACTGAATATCCATTTCACAGTAGCTAATAAACGTTAATTTATGTGCTTTCTAAATTAAAAAAAAATAGACTGCGAACTTGGCCAGAGGAGGGGCAGTCGCCCTCCCCCTTCTGGATCCGCCACTAGTGAAAGGGTGAATGCTGAGCCGGATCACGAAGTTACGAAGCCAGGGGCAAGTGAATTCTTGGTCCCCTCCCTTGATCGACCCTGGGTGAATGGTGTTTGAAGTAGCCACGACTTCATTTAAGCACACAAAGCGGCATCCCAGCTGCGAGATGTCTCCGTGCAGTGTCGCGTTGAACTCCTTTGATTCCTTTTGACCTTCCTTTTCGGCTGCTGGCTCTCAGCTCGTCCCGATGCCAAGGGGCTCCCAGCTAGCGCCCCCCTCTTCGTAGCTCGGCGTCTGGGCTCCTCTGGCCCGTGGGCCCCGGTGCAGTCGCACCGCCTGCACATTCGGTAGCTACGCCACTGAAGTTTGGAAATATATATACGATGAATTTGTTTTTTACATTATCACCGATGCTGGGTGATACCACCCCCATGCGATCAGCGTTTCTATTTTTATTTATCTCGAACCGGTGATATTCTGATTTATATTTTAATCTGACTGCGTCAAAATTCCTCGATGATTCCATTAATGTAACTCCAGCTGGAATTCTATCGTTGGCGATTGTTACGCCGGGGGGAAACTAGAGAAATAAAGCTTTATTTGTCATTGATTTCGTGAGAAATCCTCCCCCACCCCATCCTGTCTACCGAAGCCATTTAATGTTAATTCCTTCGTAGAGGATCCGAAGATCCAGATTGCCTCTTGTGTTCCGATACAACTGTACGTAAGGGATCAACCTTGAATGACCTTCAAAGCCCGTTTGCACTCGGAGCCACATAGACCAGACGGGAAAAATCTGGATATTCTGGGTTTCGAGGGAAGAACCGCCGGCCGCCTGCGGGGCGTGATACACCGAGGTCATTAGGGCCCCCGTACGTGATACAGAGCACGTCTCCCCATTGCCAATCGCATTAACCATGCATTTTCGAAGGAAGCGAATCGCGAGATGACGTCAGGTTTCTTAGTGACGTCACAGGGCGGTAAGAGGGAAGAGGGGAGGAGGAAGCAGGTCAGGCCTCAGTCGCTCGCAACCCATCGCGTCTGCTCCTTCGCTCTCTGTGCCTTCAGTCTAGTCTCTTTCAATTTCATCATTCTAGCGGGTGGTTTTAGTCTCTTGTGCCTCCCCTTGCGACGAGAGTGGATCCGTGTCTACCTGTGCGCTTCGTGCGTGAATCTTCCGGCATTTTTCCATGCCAGCGCCCTAGCGGTGAATGGATAGAATGCCTCAAAGATGGACGGCCGGCTTGTGGTTACTGATCGTACCCCTCACCTGCTTATCCCTTTCAAACGGTGAGTTCAACGCATAAACAGATGAAGATAAGAATGAGTAAATGGGTAAGAATGCAGGGCCGGTGTGGGAGCTAGGGCTAGGGAGGAGCCGTGTGCGTTATGGACCTGAACATGCAGGCCTGGGCCGTGGTGGAAAAAGCATGAGTGTGTGCATGTGTGTGCAGAAAAGGAGGCCGTCTGCGAGGAGGTGAAAGAGAAAGTTGTTGGCCTGCTCTGTGTTAAGAGCATAGAATGGATTTTCCATTCAATGCATGATAGCCTGGCCTTCTGTATTCTACCTTTCGCGTGGAATTTATTCGAACTACTGTGGTCATCGAAGTTTTGCTACCCGCATGCCTCCCCAACAAAACGCTACCGATGAAAAAATAAGTAAAACCACGGCACGAGCTGGGGAAGGAACGGTCGATCCCGGACGAGGCGATCAGGGTCATAGGGCGAGCTGTCGTTAGCGGAGTATGCGGGGCCTTGGGCAATCACGTTAGACCCGAATTCCCCTTCACACCTGCCCTCGAAATTACATTTACATGTAAGGTGACTTGAGTGCAGGGCTGATATTTCACTTTCACTCAGCGTATCGATTTCCATGCCGTGCCGTGAACCTGGGAAAATTTTCCACATGCAAGGTGGAACATGGCCAAGAGATGGATATTTAAATGTTCGTGGGGAGACTAAGGCCCGATTACTGAAGCCTAAGGGAAATGAAGGGAGCTGTAAGCTTAAGAGCTCTTTTTCTCCCATAGAAGTCCATGGGTTACTACAGGACCGTTAACTATAGGGTTTCAGCATTCGGACCTCATGATGCAAAGAACAACTAAGGTTCTCAAGATCAGACATACCTTAGAGTTTTTTTTACGATTTAGGAACCCGGCAAGAAAGCCAAATGGTATATATCGCCAGCGATTATTCAGGAGCACCATCAGAAAACAGTTCCATGCTCCGATCTTTACCTCGCCCAGACCATGATTTGTGACTGGGCTTGAATTCATGCCTCCCAAATGAGCTTCATCTCCAGATTCGCTGTCTCATGACGTCAGTGAGATTCCTCCCCCTTTCCCCGGTCATATCCATTTAAGGATGTCAGACTTCGCTCGAGAGCCTACACAGAGGCGTAAGAAACGCCCCGATCTGAGAATGGGATTTGAGACATTGTGAATGGGTTCTTTTTTTTTTTGTCTTGCATGGTTCTCATACAAATAGGCCTATCAAGCGTGTTGAAACGGAATCGTGACAGCATCCGAACGGTATATTGCAATCGGGTAGAAGAGCTTGGGGGAATGCCCCTTACGCATGAATGGCGCATTGCCTCACTGGTGATAAATAATCATCTAGATAATTAAAGGTGAAACGACTCGTCACACAAATAACGACTCCTCTGTCAGCCAACTAATTTCTCGCCATGTGTTATGCTAATAGACAGTGGTTGGCTTCCCATAGATGAGAAGAAGCTGGATACATAAGTAACGCAATGCAAACCAAGCAATTAATAAAACGGTGTGAAAAAAAGACAACAAAAATAGCCATATAAGTCACTCATTAATGCCTGCAATTAGTTTCCTTGAAGCTGCTGTATTCATCACTAGACATGACATCCACTAGGATCCACAAAGAAAAGAACTGGGAAATGTGTACTGAATGAGATGGAAAGTTGACCTTGGCCTCGGTGTGGGCACTGGTCATGAACGAGCCTCTCAGTCGGGCGTAAAAACAAAAGGAAATCATAACTCAGGTTGGTTCCTTGTCAGTCTTCACTCCATCCCTTTCAAGATGATTGTCATGCCCCCATCAAGAGATTCCTCGTCGTGCAGATGCAAGACATTTTCAGCATACCAACATTAAGGCGAGAAATGAAGTCGTGAGTCCGCGCCCCTTGCATCATCTTGATGTCTCCCCCACTCCTCTATGTCATATACCTCGATGGAATCAAGCACTAGCAGCGAACCTTGACCGTCTTGATAGATACGATGGCCCTTGATACGATGGCTCTCAAACCAGCCCCTGAAAATTTTGAGAGTCAAAAAGAATGTCAGAGGGAAAATTTCCAGCAGATCTCACCCCTTGATACGGTCTTTTCGCCTGAACATCTCTGGCCTGACCATCGAAGCGGAAAACGGACATGACCACTGGATGCCCACGTGCCACAAAGATGAACCTGCTATAAACAAAAGGAAGAAAGGAAAGGAAAAAAAAAGAAAATGACAGATGAGAGGCTGTCCAAGTTGCATCATCACCTTCACACCCACTTCATAGGACTTAGCTTGCCGTGTCGGGGAGAGAGAGAGAGAAGGGGGGGGGGGGGGGGGGGGGGGGGGGGGNTACCTCCATTGCTTGCATGTCACGTATGACAGTGGAAAGGAATTCGGTCATTCTTTAGGTAACCTCCACGCTTTCATTCATTCATTCGTTCGTTCATTTTGCACGAAGAATACAGTTAAGTTAAAGACTCATTAACCACTGAGCAAGGGTAGCGTTCTTCAACTTCTCCTTTCCCATTGAGCAATACTGCTTTCCCTTTATCACCTTTCCCAGGCGTCACATTCCACAGTGCAACATTTGCAAGTACCATACTACTTGTAACCTTTCTGGTCCATCTCGTGACCCCTTTTGCAAGCGTCCCTCTGGGCTTCCCCAGTTTCCTTCCCTCCTATTTGTTTACTCTTCCTGTGGCTTCTTTATCGTCATCCATTTTCCCGGGAGACAATCCATCGTTCAAATCTTTACCTTTACCTCCCGGCGTTCCTTTCTTCTTTTAGAGCTTTCTTAACCCTGTGCCCGACACCCGGCGGAGGGAACGCCGTAACCGGAGAAAATGGGGGAAAAAGTGAGACCGACTTTCCCTTCCGGTGATGGGAGAGACCGCAGCTGAACGATTTTAATGCCAAGGAATGGATGGCTTACAGATTGCAACACCCTCGTTGTTTGTTAGGCGAGTGCCTTTAGGCGGAGTTGGCCCTCGTCCTTCCACAGCCGGCTTGGCTCCTTTCCCTTCTTTTGGGTGTGGTAGGCCTTGAATGAGAAAATGTACCTAACCATTCATCCCTTAGAAACCTGATATCAATAACATGACTGGATCCGAACCTCTGACATTATCAGTCGGTTATGCCTTTCCAACGAAGGATTCCAGTTTGCTGGCATGTCATTTTCGGACACGGCAAGTCTACTTGCCGAATCCTAAGCCTTACAGACCTTGGATCTGAAGAGACAACACAAGCATCTCTGACGACATGACCAAAATGGACGATTTTTTTGCGAACAGATACAGATTTGATACAGTCGGTAAGCTGTCGTTGTTAGTGGTGAATGAGTCTTTAACTTAACTGTATTCTTCGTGCAAAATGAACGAACGAATGAATGAATGAAAGCGTGGAGGTTACCTAAAGAATGACCGAATTCCTTTCCACTGTCATACGTGACATGCAAGCAATGGAGGTAGGCTCGTGTAAATGGAGCCCCATTATATGCAGTTTATGAATGCCTTTTTAGCATTGAAATCCACAATGGGGAGGCCGCGTGCTCAGGGCATACCAGAGACTTTCTATTCCGGAACGTGTGTCTACTTCTTTTTTGCCCTGGTTTTTGCAGATGATGGCCGAATCCATTATGGCTACGAGAAGCAAAGATACGACGGCTGGTACAATAACCTCGCTCATCCGACATGGGGAGCTGTCGGTAAGTTCCTTTTCGCACGCCTCATTTCGTTTTCAAATGTATGCGGTTCGTGATTCAATGAATGCAAGGCTGAAATTGATGGAGAGCATTGTTAGAAGGCTGATCGTTTCGTGATGCTTGAATCTGCCTCGCCCGCTGAGAAACCTCTGCATATTCATGGAGGACACAATATTTTTTAATGTTCCCTTTTGCTTTCACCCTGTCAAGTCAGAGGTTTTCGTAACAGCTACAAGAGACGGAAGGTTCCAAAGCACAGATGCCGTTGTTTTTTATTGCTTCAGTAATCGGCCTTGCCCTTGCCTCCTCCACCTCACCCCAAACATTTCCCCTGATCCATAAGGAAATAAATACGTCCCCCGTGGGGCGAAGGGGGATGGCTGAAGACATGTTGTCACGATACTTTCATTCCGAGCGTCGAGGCAATGCCCCTTTTGCTGTAATGAGGACACTTCCAGGGTGGAACTCGGCAACGCTGTACGATTTAGCCCCAGGCGCGGATCCTAGTCCGTTCTTTCAGTGGCGGCGCTAGGAGAATTTCAATAGGAGTAAAGTCCCGCAATGGGATTGAATTTCAGGTCATGTACCGTCCTTTGAGGATTTACGTAATCCATTGTATCGTATTATAGATTCTCATGTGAATTGTTTGAATGGAGAAATTAGGTATCCTTCACTCCTTTAGCTGGAAACACTCACCATGTTCAATGTACAGTAATTGACTTGATGAATATTCCCTGGGTCAAAGTGATTTTTTGAAATTCCACGCTGCGATGAGCAACGACTACTCGAAAGGAAATGTTGGGGATCGAAAGCTCTACAGCTTCAGTTCTGCCGACTTAAAGGAGTGTCTTCATATGTAGAAAGGAAAAGAATTGGATCACGATATTCAAAACTCCAAGAAGCAAAAAACGAAAAGCGAAGAAAAACCCCAGCGCTTATTGGACCCATGGAAAAGCACATAGGCTGTAACTGATCTCTGCTTTTCCGTGAATTACTCGGAAACTCCGAAGACAGCTAAGACTCAACAACTTCTTGATTTTCTGACTAATCCCAGAAATAAAATCTGAAAGCTAGGCTGCGATCGGTCTAGGGTGTGATTAAATAAGTGTACCGAGTTGGAGTCTTATTTCTCAAATACGAGGAAAAGTCGGAAAATAGTCCATTTTTGTGCAGGTTTTGCACACAAAAAATTGGCATAAACAAATGAAAGTATATATCTTTTGCTACTTCTCGAGATATTCACCATACATGTTCAGGCATTTGTTCCAGCGTTACCCAATTTTTTTTCATACTCGTCTCATAGAAAGCGTTACATTGGGCGTACAGCCAACTGCGTACCGCTGTTAGCACGTCCTCGTCTGATTGGAAATGGTGGCTGGTGAGACTTCGAAAGTCTGAGGGGGCCAAGTCGGAGCTGCAGGGGGGATGATGAAGTGTCCCGTTAAATGGAAATTCTCTGAGTCGTGGATTCAAAAACTAGTGAAACGCTGGAATAAATGCCTGTGCATGTATGGTGAATATTTCGAGAAGTAGCAAAAGACATCTACTTACATCTGTTTATGCCAATTTTTTGTTTTATAATCTATATATAATGTTGTTTTATAATAAAATATCAGAAAAAATTTGATCGACCTTATTTACTGACTTTCCCGCGTATATTATCTTCTTAAAATTTTCCTTATGCTTGTTCTTATTCGTTATTTGATTTTTCCTTTCCGTCATTTTTATTGTTCCGTACGTCGGGGCTAATATGTTGAGGCTGAGCTGGTTACAGCCATCTCTTATTTCTTCTTGGTGCCAACACTTGAGTCTTCAATATTCGCTTGCTTTCCTTCAAAAATTTTTTTATATACAAAGATATATAGTACCTAAAAATATATTGATCTTTGGTGTCAATGTTCCTCTTTCGCAGTAAATCTTGTAGTACATTCTCTTTATGGGCTCTGTTTGACCTACTGCCGCGCTGCAGGAAACTTTGCAGATGGACAACCATCCGAACGAAAAGTGACTTTTTATGTATGTAAAATCAGTTATAGAAAGTGCTGTGATGCGTAAAGACATCACTGGATAAATGATAAGGCCATCTTTCATATACTTAAATTTGAGGCTCCGTCTGGATAGAAGTGATAATTGCAGGTGATTCGGCACGTAGGAAGAATGAGAATCCTCTATGCTGAGCTTTCTTCTTGTAGAATCGCAAAATTTCTTCGCAAACTGAGCCCTGGCTGAACTGAAAATTCATCTGATGTAAACACTTCTCGGCCAATTTACTGGTTGTAACAAAATTCAGGAATCTAAAATCATCGCGGGAACATTAATTGTTTAGACTGGATTTCGCTCGCTTAGCTGACGCGATACTGTAATGCCAAAGTCACGTAGTCACGAGATCTGGTCGGAGTGACCCATTGACCCAACCTGACCACTTTGAGTCCCTATGGGCCAATTTAGGTCAATTTGGGTAAACCTGGGTCACTCGTGATAATAAGTCAATTTTTGTGTGGTCAATTTTGGTTGCTTGCACCGATTTTTGTGCTTCGGTAGCTTTGGCATTTACGGTATCCAAGTAAGCGGGTGAATTCCAAACAGTCTCGCAGTAGATAATTCCTCCTCTGTATTTCTATTATTCCTGACTTCTTTTTTTTATACACCTTTTACACCTCATGTGCTTACTTTCCAGTCACCCAGCGTGACTGGAAAGTAAGTACATGATTTTTTAAAATTGCTTCTCTTTCCTCTTCCAGCGTTTGATTATATTTGTTGATGGCGAAGAGCAGAGATTAAAGTTCCCTGAAAGCTTTTTTTTGCGGGGACTCCCGTACCTTTCACTCCAAGGTAACAAAATCCCCTTAAAAGTTCTCCCACGTGCATTTATACACGTCCGTAGTTTCTGCGTGTTCTTTTGAAGGCCGTCTTGCAAGGGCCTGTAGCTTGTCGCAACAGTCACGATTACATCCCGATCGGCAGCCTGAGTTGCTTCAACATGGACTTCTGTCACAGGACAAGACAAGCACGTATGCTTCGGCAAATTGTCCTGCCGCAGCCGCATTTTTTGGCAGGTTTTTAGCGAGTCTTTCGTTCGCAGCCATCAGCCGGCTACCCTTTTCATCGGACTAGACATGTTTCTCTTTCCGCGAGTCAAGTCCACGTTGAAGAAACGCGATATGCAGGATGAATGCCATGACAAGTGAACTGTGGATTCTTGCAAAGAACTAACTGCGGACGTGCGAACAACTGTTCACCCATTGGAAACAGTGCTTAAACGCACGGACATTATCCTGAAGGAGACCTTGTCACCTTGGAGTGTACGGCACTAGTGTCTCCGCAAAAAAAGAAAGAAAATAATTCCGAGAAGTCGTTGATAGATTCTTAGGTATCACCTGCCAAGTAGCTAAAATAATTGCCAATTTCGGTCACTTACCTAATTGAATAGGACATCGCAAAAGCCGTATTCGGAATTTACCATTGGAACGACAACATAATTGCGTCGAGAGGCATTCTTAAGCAATTTCCGTTGGCGACGCTGAAAGATATCACCAACATGTGGTAAAACCGTATGGTACAGTTTTCGTATGAATAGTTTTGGACATTCTTGAGATGTATCATTGTCCTTTACGTAACATTAGCAGACGGTGCGCTTTGTGCATGGATCGCAATCACTTCAATCAATTTATACTGCAAGAGAAATAAAAGTTAAATTCGATTCGCAAAAAAAATAATTCCCCACCATTCCGACATGGGCAGAAGTTCAAAACATGAAAAAATATCTAGATTCTGAGGAAAACTCAACCGGACTCCGAATTCTCCATAAAACAGGTACTACTACTGCTGCTCGGCCTCGGCCTCCTGGCGCAACAGACACCAACTATTAAATGTTGTCCAATAATTTTGTGATGTACAGTATGTGATATCATACTGCTTGTCCTTGGCCGAAGCGGAAATAATCGTATGGCTTCCGGCCCATCCTGCCTCCGCCTCGATGAAGAATTCATTCATTAGTCGGCCATGCAACAGCCGCTATGATGCAACAGTTCCCAGGCGGGTGGAGGAGGATGTGCGCAAGAGGTCTCGATGCCATCCCGCGAATGCTGTCGGATCGGCCTGCTGTAAACAACTTTTAAAATGGTGTTTGCATCCGGGATCGGCACCTTAGCTAATGCTATTGTTGCGATGAATGTTGCGTGTTTTTCATTTAGCGCTCATTTCAAGGCCACATTCTACATAATACCATTACAATTGGGCACAGCTTGACCTCTGAGTGTATCGGTACGACGGAGGATGATAAGCCCTCTAGGCTGGTGCCTACAGATCCATCCCTTTTAATAAGAGTAGCCTTGAACTTCGTCATTTAGATTTTTTCATTCCCTAATGCACGATCTTATCCCGTGTTGTTACACACGCTTGCATTACGTAGATTCACTTCCCACGTTTGGCCTCCTGTCGACTGGAAAGTTATCACGATACCAGGGTCTCGTGATTGCCTGCTACAGGTGTATAATTATCGACGCCCATACGTTGTGGCAGAAGATCAAAAGGCTTGTCCGACCCGATAAGGATCTATAAAATGCAATGATATTAATTTGGTATATTCACAGCCAATCATTATTTCTTCTGGAGCTTCCGATATGTAACGCTCAGAGCGTCATTTCCACTGAGGCCGCATCGTTATGCTTTATACTGTAGTCTTGGCACAACACATGGGAGTCGGAAAACTTTACACCTGTTGCAGGCAATCTCTAACACGAATAAAAATGAATGATGCCCCTTTTCTTGAACCCTACTTGGCACTCAAAGTAGGAAAAATAATAAAAGTACTTTCCGAGCGTGATTCGCTCCGGGAGATAAACGTACAACGGAGAGCTGGGGGGTTGAGAATTTTTATGGGTCTATGTCTTGCACGCGATGACCAAGATTGAGTACGGAGCTTGAAAGCGGCCGTGTATCAGCTTCTTGAGTGCCTTCTCTAGGATCTATACTTTGCTCAAAGCTTTGTCCCCAACTGGTTAGGATTTATTTATGTGAAGCAGAGATGTTGTCATCTCGTATCCAATTGAGATGTGAAATATCATTATGTCTCCATTCAAGTAAATTTACAAAGTATCGACCAAAGTAAGCTTAGCATCTTTCAGTTTGTCGCAATTCCACTTCATTGCATAGTGCTATTTGCCTGAGCAATCTCTCCAAATGTAGAACTTTCAGGTCAGCAAAATCTTAGTTCCCCTGCACTACTTGCTTGAAACGGGAGGTAATGACACGATCACGTTTTCCCAACAGCCCAAATTGAAGGAATTTCTGTGTTTTTTGCTTCTTTTTTGTTGCTTGTTTAGTCCAAATAGGTAAAGTTTCGTCGTGACTGTTTTGATTCGAGCCAGTATTTTCCTTCTGATTTTCTCCAATCGTGTTTTTTTTTCTCTTTTTCCTTGGTCGAACAGAAAGCAGGTTGACAAGGAAGACGCCGCCATCGTACGGCGATGGAGTTTACATGATGGCAGGAGAGGGCCGACCCAGTCCCAGGATGCTGAGCCAGATCTTCATGAAAGGCGAAGACGGCATGGGTTCGGGCCTCAACCGAACTGCCCTTCTCGTATTCTTCGGTGAGACATTCCGACCTTGGGCAACATACCATCACGGGATAATGCTATCTGATTAGCTGCTTCTAGTGGAAGAGCGAAAGAGCGCCTTGCGTGTGGTGGTGTTATTTTTTTATATAAAAAATAAAGGTCAGTTGCGCTCTATCTTCGATCCACATTCCTTGGTATACTAGAGCAGGTCGTGCAGAGAGAAGAAACCCCTCGATCGTGAATTCCATTTCTTTCCTAAACGACATGAGGTCGTGCAAGATTTTTTTTACAATCATGTCTGGCAGACAAGGAAGGCGAAGTCTCCTTGTCTGATCGAAACGGGCGTTTTCTTGCCTGGAGTTTTCAGGCGGTTTTGTAATCCATAATTAGAAAGTGAGCATGGTAATGAATGGTTTGGATACATTATGTTATCCCGTATTTCGGAATGGAAAGCCGGGCGTGTCGCAGAACATTCCCAAATGGATTTCCCAATGAGGTTCATCTTGAGATTCTCTTCTTGAAATAACCAAGAGCTAGGATATTTTTGGAGTCAAAGACTCAACGAGATCTCTCTCAACCTGTCCGGTACGTGGAAGAAAGGGACGTTAACTTCATGGCATGTAATATGAGGTTTTTACTTTTCTTTACTCCCTCCTTATCTCTACTAGGCATTATCTCTATATCCTCGATGAAAGGTCCAAAATCTCTACAGCAACAGCCAATCACGAGGCTTAATAGGGATTACGACTTAACAGCCCTAGGACCAGCCCACTGACTGTCTCATGAGATCTACGCCTACTTTTTTTTCGGGCAAAAAAATCTCAACCCTCAAGCCACCAGACCTGAGTGATCTGTCTGTCTGGAATTTTTCAAACCGTCACGACGACGTCTGTAGACAGCAATTCCCAATCATCCGCCGGCACCTGGAGCGTCACGCTCACCTCACGGATGTGCAGTGGTGGTCCGTCTCCCATGGGGCATTTGCATTTTTATCCGTTTTCGCCAACAGCTTTGCTTATATCCCGCATAATTGCGACAACATTACGAAAATATACATAGGCTATCGTTCAGCACTAATGGAAGTGTCAGACACCGATTAGAAAGCGAAATTATCGACGTATTCGAATTATTACATCGGGCAACCATGTCAATGGTGGAAACTAGGCCAGATCTCGAAGGGATCTAATGGGTTCTAATTTCGCCCACCTGCACGAAACTGTTTATCACCATCAACGGAAAGGTCACGTATCGTACTACAATCCCATGTCTTTCTTCTGATTATTGTGTCATCCCGGAGACCCCCCAGGTAGAGTAATGAAATTTACATCTAAGAAATTCAATCCGTTTATCTCTCCATCTGGGAGGAGAAGGAAGTTGAAACTTTCTGGACTGGTTCTCCGTTGAGATGGGAGTAGGATCACTTTCTCTTTAAAGGCTTTCAAAGAGGAATACGAGAAGGCGGGTTTATGACCAAGGGAAAGGATTTAAGGAAAGGAATGGACGCTACCGCGCCTTTGATCGTGTCCTTTCTCCAAGTCGTTTAACGTCTCATAATATTTAAATATCTAATAGAGGCGGATTTTCCCGGAATTTCCGGTCCTGAAGAAGCGAGCGCCCGTCTCTCTTTTCTAAGTCAACAAATTCTGCTTGTTTGAAGGCCAAGAGATCTCCATTTCAAATATTATCCATGTTTACCTTTCTAGCGTGCTTTAAATAGCTGGAAAAGGCCCGAAAGGCCCGAAACGAGTTCTGATTTCCTCGCGATCCGTGAAAGTCTTCGAAGCGTGGCCCAGGTTCTTCCTAATTAGAAGAAAATGGGACTGCTCAATGGGGGTCTTATCTCGGAAAAACAGCCGCGGGGGGACTCCATCCTCTCTGGCTGAGTATTCCCTTGCGAATGCGGAGTGAGATGGCATCATTTGGTTTGGAATTTTCTTAAACGCAATTTCCTGATTGCGTTTCCTGGATTTTGGCACATCCGTGAATGTTGTCAGAATCCGGCTTTTATTTTTATTTTCAGACCCGTATTTGTTTTTTCTTCATACTTTTTTCGAGCTCGTTCAGATGTAGAATGATTTCCTTTTCGTGCGCAGTTGGTCTTTTTTTCAGATCTTGATAGTCCTCGAAAATGAGGAATGGTGCCATTAAAGCCTCACATTACATCACCGAATCAGCCTTCGCATATAGTTTCCCGAAGATCCCCCGCAGCTTTTTGTTCTCGACTCCTGATTATCGAAGGTGGTCTCCGTCAGGATAACTACCGTCCCCGGCATGGCTCATGGGAATTCTGCGTTGTGTAACCATTGCGTTATTACCGCTATCGACCCCCTGAAAACCATGAGGGGGTTGGAAGCGTCTTGCATAAATTAAAAGTTACAACATTTTCAAGGTTGGGCATATTTTCATCATGCCTTTTCTGCTTAGGGCATTTACGTCTTAACTCCTGCATTTAGGATCATCTAATACCGGCATCGTGACTGTTCCAATTTGGACCATGTAATCATGACTTTGTAATTAACGCTGGTGCCTTGAAATTTTAGGTTTTTTTTTTAGCATGACAGCTGTAATTAGGGCATTTTGATTATGTATTCTCCCATCGCGGTTGTAATCGTGACTCGTCCAGATGAGGCATTTTTGCGATGATGACTCGGTCGTTTATGGTTAGAAATGGTCTTTCCTGTCTTTCGCCATGGCTCCTAGCCGTGTAGAATATTGCCAAGATCTCAGTGGTTCATCAGATGGGTCAGGGAGAGAAGGGAAAAAGATTCCCTTCAAGGTCGTTTGAAATGAAGACGCGGTTGAGAAAAGGTAGCCCGAAACCGGTGTAAAGAGAGAGGGGGGACGATGTTGAGACAAGGTTGAGATGCACTCGCTGGAGGCAAGGCGTTCGAGATCGTGATGCAACCCACCGCTGCTTTCGCCATCTCTTTCTCTGTGTCTAATGAGCGCAAAGCCAACCAAACAGCCTCCATCGGGCAATCCTCGCCATTCATTACCCGCCCCATCCGCTGCTCTCGTCTGTCGTCTACCTCGATAGGATTTATGGGTTGCCTTCACACGAGGGTGACCTAAAAATCTTATATCTCACATTTAAATTAGGCAGTTTTTCATTCCTTATGACTAGTTTCAGTGTATATTTGACCCGAAGGTCTTGCAGTATTTTGGAGAAAATGCGGGCGGACGTTCTTGAGTTTCTTCAGCGAAAGTAAGCTGCATAACCACATTTTAAGCGAGGCCGGAAAACTCATGTACGCTTATGGGAAGTCCCATCAGCAGCTTGGGCAATATTCTAGCCTGCTATTACATCAGGAAAATTAGTCACGATTCCTCCGTATGGGTGGAGTGGGTGGGTTAGACGGGTTGAGTGAAACTTGCTTCACCGCAAAAATGTTGTCCCATTCCTTGTCAACAATGTTGAGTCGATACATGGGTTTTGTGAACTGGAACGCAGGTCAATTGGTGTCGTCGGAGATTCTGATGGCGAGCGAGCCGGGATGCCCGATCGAGCTGCAGAGGATCCCGATCGAGAAGTGCGACGAGATGTACGACAAGGACTGCCAGGGGGATCAGTGGATGCCGTTCCACCGGGCCTGGTACGACGACAGGACCGGCCAGAGCCCCAATTGCCCGCGAGAACAGGTGAGGCCAATGTTGTCGTTCGCTGTCTGGGGGGCGGGGGGAAACTCGGCTCAAGGTCTGGCGACTCGGCCTGGCGTGACTTTTTTTGTTTTTGTGTTCCTTTGTCGATGAAGCGGAGATCGTTTCTCTTCGTTTCCCTCCGTTTCCTATGGAATTCTGGGGTTGTTGCATGCACTTGCCGCTTGCAATCTATTCAGAATCCATGAAAGTCTTTTCATCCGGAACTGATCGTCCACATTTACTCTAGCCGATAGCTAAAAGTATAAGAACCTGGGGAAACGGTATCGTGCTCCTTTCATGATACACAAAGACCCATTTCTTGTTTCGCTCGACTGTCTTTTTCGGGCCTGGTTGCTTTACTTCACGAGACTACTTCGTACTTATCCCTGTAAACCACTACCGCTTTCCATTTTGTCCGAAATCTTGCGTAGCGTTTCTTCGTCCTCCACTTGGAGAGGCTAATCGACTTGCTCAGACCATCCTTGACTGCAAATAGAGTCTAGCAGGATCCGGGACATTTTTCCACCGGCTTGGCATTGTGGACTCAAGGGCGTTTGTCCAAATGAAATGAGACTCCATTGAGGAAGCACTTGAAGGATTCCCGAAAAGAAGAGCGAAAACGGTTTCTGTGGAGAGAAACTGCTGCGTCACGAGACGAAATCATAGGTTTCTCAGGGCCGCGGCTTCTCTCGACTGAAAATGCCATTTTTTTCCCCTTGGCCCAGGCAGGAAGGGGCTGAAGATTTGGGACAATTTGGGACCAGCATCCGCACTTAGCATCACTACTTTTTATCATTATTTTTTTTGTAATGACCTCGAAGACTCGCTCACGATTTATTAGCAATGCGGGGAATATGAGCATGGAATCTCGTGAAATAGAACGACTATCTCTTGCCAAGATTTATCGGAATGTGCCTTCTGGCATTCTGTCCTTTAAAGACCAAGGTTGATGAGGCGATTTATTCCTCGTCCTGGTCTGTATTTCCTGCGGGCAAAGGCGGACGTAATCGAGGTAAAGAGGTATTCAAACGTGAAAGATGCAAATTCGAAGCGAAGAAAAACTTTAATGGAAGGCAGGGTGAATTATCATTTTTTCTTTTCGGCGTTTAACTGAAGTTTGATGCACACAAGCCGTGAGATAATGGGACGTTAGCAGGTGTGTCACGAAGTTTTTTTTTTTTCTCTTTTGTGTTCTGCCCAGTTGCTTAGTATTAGATGGCAGTTCATGGCAGTTGTGTAGGAGTACCGCTTTTTTCGGGCGGGGAAAACCGGGACGTTTGCTCTACTTTTCCAAATAATGACGTGCTGGTGACATGCTGATAAAAAAAATCCGGGACAATTTTTTGTAACCAGTAAAGTTTCTAACGAACCGGGTCTGTCCCAGAAAAAAAAAAGGACTTTCTAAAAGCAGGACGCTGACCTCTCCACTCTTAATGCAATATCGCACGTTGCGTGTTTGCGTGTTATTCGTCAGTATGCATGCACTGATTAACTGTAGATGCGATGTGACGTGTGACGTCTGCACGCCTTCCAGCGTATACACGCACACGCATTCAGAGATTCTGATGAAACGTAAGACATGCATGCGGATCTGGAATCGGGTCAAATCTCAACGTCTGCATGCCGATAGAGGGAGAAAAAAAAAAGCCTTAAACAGAAACGTCGCACAACCAGTCGAATTTACGATCTTGTCTATGCTATTTCTATGCGGTAAGATATATTGGCCAAGAGAAGCAGGGATATTGATGGATTCAGAGCGCACACTGGTGAGGACAGACTTGTAGTAATTCATGTTATATTTCTTCAGAAAGTGCTTTTACTATATTTATGCGAAAGTTCTTATGGGGGAAAAAAAAAATACAGGAAAATATTTCCTCATTCTAATACTTCTGGACGATCCTCAATGGAACCGAATGAGGTGAGCAGAAAGAGTGGACCAGGTACTTGTACATTGCAAACAATTTGTGCTTCCACACTCGCATGCCGATGGAGGTTAATCCTATTTCGCGGAAGTACTCACGGACATGGTCACCGGGTAACTTGAGGTAAGTGGTAATTCGCAAGTGTGAATCCACCCTAACGTAGAAGCAGGAGGAATTCTCCCATCGCTTTGCAGTCGACTGGAATTGCGCAGGAAACCAGAAAGCAAGTTTTTTGGCTCTCGCTCTCGTGTTCCATGAACACGCATGGAGGAGCACGCACGTGACACGGGAGTCATGCGTGTGAGCTTACCTGCTGATCGTGTCTCGCTGCCTACGAGCGCGTATCACGCGAACACCTATATTGTGATATGGTCTCCAGAGACTTTTTTTCAATTAATGGCCGTCAGGGCCATAATTAAATAATTAATTCCAATTCAATTAATAATATGCCAAAAGCGAGAACGGAGCGGTACCGCAATAGCACAATACCTACTGTGCAACGTATCCTCCGCGAGAATCATTGGCGCCGGCAGATTGGGACATGAACTCTTCATACCTTCAGGACAACCTCCAACCTCTCGATGCAAGTGATCTTTGGCGGCTGAATTTCATTTCTTTGCTTACCCCCCCCCCCCCCATTTTTAAATTTGTATTTTATTTATTTATCGACTCCTTTTTTAAAAGTAGTATTTCCGCTTCTAACGCTGACTGCCAGTCACTGTACCCCAAAATTCCTCATGGAAAATAAAACGATGACGATGAATTCAGTTTACGACCGTTCGGGATCGATTTGTGCCGCACAGATGAACGCAATGACGAGTTGGATCGACGGGAGCTTCGTGTACAGCACAAGCGAGGCCTGGGCGAACGCGATGCGGTCGTTCGTGAACGGCACACTCATGACATCCAACGAGACGCACCTCCTCCCGCCGAAGAACGAAAAGCGCGTCCCGCTCTTCAACCCCCCCTCGCCCCACATGCTGAAGCAGATGCATCCCGAGCGGCTCTTCCGTGAGTTTCCTCGTTGCCTCGCCGGGATGGTCTCGATGCAGTTCGTTCGGGTTTGGCGAGATCGTTCGTCGATGTTTTTTCGGCGACTTTTTCGGTTTTTCGGTCTGTTTAGGGAGATTAAAATTCCATTGCAAGATCGTTGTCCCGCAACTGCATGTATGTGCATTGGAGCATCTTATGATAATTGGGAATAGAGTGGAGATTCATTAAAATTTATTTACAAAACTCTTCTAAATTGTCAGGATTACTTACATATACTGTAATATCTAGAAAAGTCTTTTGAAATTCCTTTACAAAAACCTCGGGTCAGTTCATGTTTTTTTGCCTTTTTTTTGCTTTTGGCATTGTGTGCTATAGTCTTGGGCGATGCAAGAACAAACCAGAATGCGGCGATCTTGACTATGGGAATTCTGTTCTTCCGCTGGCACAATGTCCTTGCCCATCGAATCCAGCAGCAGAATCCGACGTGGACGGATGAGGAGATCTTCCAGCGTGCTCGTCGTCTCGTCATCGCTTCCCTTCAGGTATGATACGGGGAGCGAAAGAACCTGTTTGCAAGTGGGCTGTATGGGGGGCGGGAGGAGCTGATACCGTAAATGGTGGCCCCGGGGAATCAGGCGTCTGAGAATGTTGACAGGAATCGGATTGGTGGTGTCGACACTCGCCGAGAACGGGTCGAGAGGGAATATGGGCTAATTATGGGATGCTGTAACTCTCGACACGTTCTTTGAAACACCGTGACATGAGGTAGACTTTAAATGTCGTTCAGCCCACTGGAAGTGCCACTCTTCGTTTGCCATGCACGTCCGGCATCCTCTACTTATTAAATTATCCATTGTCCGTCTCGTGTCTTATTACAGACATGAGCCTTCACGGGAAAAAGAAATAGTCTCAGGGAGAAGGAACGCACAAGACGCTATCGCGGGTGAGAGAGTCAATGTATCTTAAACGCTTAGACTCAAAATTTTCCACCTTCATGGATCACCCAGTGATGGGAGCAGGGCAGATTTTTTTTTATGAGGGCAAGTATAAAGGCGTGGTCTAGAGGTAAGCGGTGCAGTCGAGGATCGAGTTGACGGGGTACGCGGCGCGGTAGAGGCAGCCTCGAGGTGGGGGGTGGATCGAGTGTACAAAAAAAGGAGGAAAGGCCTGTGGCAGATCCGCCTTCATCAACGGATTGGCCTATGGGCGGAATGGCTCTCTCCCTCTTTGGTCACTAACAAGGCCGGAGAATGAACCGGAAATCCGGTTGGAGATCGCGGCCTTGAAACCCGGAAATCTTCCGTTGCGAGCCTTTCGGCACTTCTGCAGAAAGTCGTGCAAAAATCTGACGATGGTGTTACGTGTGCCCCGAGGCCGCGTAGTTCTTGCGCAATACCCTGCCTCGAGTGATGAGAAAGAGACAGGAAAGAGCCCCGTTGTAAAGAAGGAAAAAAAAAACCAGTCTCTGCCTGGGATGATGTAATCTGTTCCAGTGCCATGCCTGCGCTGCCACGTTCCAGGAATACCCCTGCCGTCCCATTAAAATTACATGTTATCCGGTACTGGATGGAGCACTCGCCGGTTCTCCTTATCGTATAGGCCTGTCTTGACCTCATTCTAGACGTAAAACCAGATGCTTGTTCTCGCGGATTGCGCCATTATCGAAGGCAGCTTGAGAGGGTGGGAGGGGATATGGTGGGGCTTGGTGGGGCACAGTGAAGGATGGATGGAGGGTTCTTAATTGGCTTCACTCCCGCTTTCACGACGTCTCCACTCGAACACTTCATCAATAGCTCCATCAATATCATGCTGTACTACAATCCAGGAGAAATGAGACATCTTCGGAACCACTTGGGGGCTCCGTATAAAATAGAGCAGAGAGTATTTAGAAACAGAGTATATACCCACGAAAACACCAGTCCGCCCTGGATGGAGGAGACAAAAATATTCATCTGAGGGATTGAGTTTGCGTTCCTGCCGGTGACCGTTTCCTGTACTGGAAACGGTCACCGTGGAAAAGAATCTTCAATCAATCTACTCATTGAAAAAGAATTTTGCCGTGAACTTATAAATAGAAAATCTCCTCTACTCCTTATTTTCGGTTGCTCGGCATGAATGCAAGCTCGCCTCTGTGATTGCCAATGTGGCAATTATGAATTTCTGTTCATGTGATATACATTCAAATCGAAAACTCCCTACGATATGTCCTCGGATATCCATCACTGCATAGAACACAGCATAGAGGTACGAATGACCTCCATGTCAACGAAAAAAGAAACCGGTGAGAGGAAATCAGAAAGAAAGGCAGGGTCTGGGAGGGAAAGACGTGGGAGGGTGTCGTGGTCGGTCGGTGGAGTGGAAAGCGCCATCGTCTTCCAATGTCCTGTCCCTCGTGACACTTTCCACACTGGCTCTCCCCACCGAAAAACTTCCATTTCGATTTTTTTTTTCCCCTATTGTTTTGGTTTGAATCGGCGAGGCTGCTTGCGAGTACGGTCGGTGAACCTGAACCAGGAAGGGTAGAGTCAGTCACGGCATTGTGACTTGCAGGGATCGGAATGAGGAAAGGAGCCGCATCGAAATGAAAAGAAGTCGCATTGACATTCTGCACAAGCTCGCAGTTGCAGGGATCAGTGACTCGTCACAATGGGGCATCTTCCCTCGTACCGGTATATGGAGAACAGTAAACCGAGGTCAACGTGTGGAGAAGGAAAACAATAATTGGCCCCGCACCACTGCGCATTTGAAATAGACAATGCTTGTGCTTGCGGTTCGAAATTGAAAACTTGTGCTTATGATTCAGAGATTTTGTCCCTTAAACGGAGGGGGATAAAGTCGAGGGAAGGCGATTTTTGTGTCATTCATGTCACGAAATTAATTAGTATCCCTGAGAATCAAGTTTGCCTTCTCCGGTGGAAACATGTCTAAGCAGGATTGCCAGGAGTACCCCGACTAGCTAACACGTTCCTATTTGAAAGGGACTAGTTACCGTTACTAGTTACTGTTGGAGTACCTTGTTACCGTAGGAAATCCAGGCAATTCTCCACGTGGTCCTTCTCGGGTCGTTGAATTAACCTGGTTAAAGCCTAACGTTTCACGTCTTCCCGTTGAAGAAACCTTGCATTCACGAGTTAAATTGCTTTCTATTTCTTCCTCTTCCAAGTCATGCAGTACTCCCAAGTCATGCGCTTGCTTGCAGGCGGCGTTGCCGTCGTGAAAGGCCGGAAGCAGCGGCGGCCCTCGTTGCCCGGTGACTTGGGTTGCCTGGTGACTTAGATTGCCTGGTGGCTTGGGTTGCCTGGTGACTTGGGTTGCCTGTGACTTTTCCCGCTTCTCCATGTGAATAAGCAGTGGCTTTTTACCCATTGACTTCGTGCCTTTTCGTGAAGGCCTCATCCTCCTTCAGCTCGAGTCGGTGGGAATGACTATGGAGAAGAAACGAAATACAGTTACACGTTCCATCTTGCTAAATGGAACGATTACAGTTACTCGTTCCTGGAACTTGTGAAGTGTTACGAGGCCGCGTTACTGCCCATCTCTGTAAGCCAGTATGCCACTTTATGGGAAGTCGAATATGCGATGGGTATCTAAAAGTAAAGGTATAAGTAACTGCAGCTATCTATGCAATACAGTAGATGATATACGATGTGCAATAGATGCAATATTGTCTCCTCGATTCAGCAGTATCTTTCGACATCATCCTACCTCGTTTGACTGCAGTCCACGCATTCAAGGATGCATTTCACGGGAACCAGACCTGGAATGCGTGTCCATTAATTGGGTGTTCGGTGATAGAGAGATTGGAGTTGGGCGATCGCGGTCCACGTATAGCACCACTGTGACGGGCGCGTCTCGTTGCAGCAGACGTGGTATGCCGGTAGAAGGCCATATTTTTGCACACGTGATATGTGCTACCATTCGGGAATCGGGGTTGGAGGTGGTACTGCGCGCATTCAACACGTGCCAATTATTTTCAACTGGCCTAAGGATGCTTATTCACCCTTGGAAAAGTGCATGGCACTTAAGAGCTAGTGTAGAAAGTAATCGCGATTAAATGTATTAGTATGTATCTCACACATCTAGTGAACACGTTTTTCCCTTTACTCTTGAATATCACGTCGTTGTTAGCAGTCTCTAGGGGTGAGCCTGCGTAACTATTTTGCATTTCTTGACCAAGTGAATGGCCGGAGGATGGGCTGGTGAAGAGTATCCCATGGAGCGATGACAACGTTGCCACATCGTATTGCCGTAAAAATATGGCTACTTTATGCGGATTAAGTTCGGTTCCAGGAGGTTAGGGGCCTGTGACGGTACTCAGCACTGAGGTACCGAGGTCTGTCGAAACAAGATCAATATGGGCAGTTCTGTGATTGCCCGTTCGTGCTGTCTGTGTTGGTGACATCAATCTTCGTGAAAGAAGGTCCAACAAGAAGAACTAATTCACGTATCCAATCGGTGTAATTTAAAAACTCAAGGAAAACCCTAGACGTGACGTCCGGCTGCATGCTATTAGAGGAAGACCACCCGAGGCGACAATAGTCATTCGCTGGGCGAGGAGCCAAGACTGACCTCCCACATCCTGTTTTCCGAAGAAAATAAAAAAGGATGTGAAAGAGAACTAGATGCGTACCCATGCATTTCAGATTTCTGGAATTTTTGGAAGGTGGGCTTACGCTTCTTTCACTGTCATCCTCGTTCCTTATCCGTTCAAGGTGAAAATCCAATCTGACCAAGGATTTATTTGCTTCATGGGATCCGGCCTTTCTCCTCCTTCTAGTACTTTATTGCTTGACCTTGCTAGCGCACGCTGCCGGTAGATTCTACTGTCCTTTGTCTCAATAGAAGTCTTTGATGCTCTTGTTCTTGTCAAATTAACTAGATTAACTAGAACGATGGAAATCAACGTAGGCATTGGCAAAGGTATATCGTTGAAAAGTTGCTAAAAAGAAAGTGTCGAAAAGTTTTGCGTTTGGAAAAGCGTGGGGGGGGGGGACAGAGGACAAGACCTTAGTCTGTTTAGCCTCGTTCTTGCTGGGTACTGCCTCCTGCCGGTGTCAAAACTTGATAACCGGTCTGAACCACCAGACCAAAGTCAGTCCAAGTCAGTTTACCCATGTTTCCATTGCCTAAACTACAATATTGCAACATGGTTTAACAGTTAACCGGCTTCAATGCTTGTGATGTGGACGAGGCTCGAGGGCGGTCGCGAGTGTCATGTAAATCCGATTTTCCCCTCCGCGTTGATATGTAGATGTAGTAACCCAGGTTTATTCTTGCGTCATGAGCTGTCTCACAGGACTACCTTACCATTCTCAATTGTAGAACCCTGGATTAGAAGGGAGAGTCTGTTCGACCATATGCAGAAAGTAGGTTATTCCATATTAGGCTATCCTCTCTTGCTATTATAATTTTCTTCGTTTGTTCCTTGTTTCGCACTCAACTGTGAGCTTTTCCTCATGATTCTTCTTCCTACTCCCATCTTCTAGCCTTAGACCATATTGATAACAAACAACCGCTATCGTCGACTCATTTGGGATTGGAATGTAGCGAATGAGAATTCACGACAGGATATTTTTTTCCTCTCTGAATAAAAAATAAAGTTCAATTATCATCGCAATAAGAACGGTATGCGGCTGAAGGGCTTTATATACAGTTGTAGATGCTGCCAACCGACACAATTGACTGTTTGGAGTGGGGGGGGGGGGGGCGCTGAAGGCTCTGTTTAGGTGAGTGGGTGGATGTTGGCAAGGGTCTCTGCCATATCACTTGTGATCCCTTTGGGCTCCACTGTAAATGGAAAATTGTGACAATTGATATCACGGTTATCTAATGTATGAGAATGGTACTCTCTCACGACAATTTTTACTTCACTGGTTTATGAAGCCGAAAAACCGCCGTTGTGGACATCGAATTTCATTATTAGAATAATTTAGGGCAGGTTGAGAAACGATTCCACTTTTTAGCGAACTCTAAAGTCTTCCTGGCTCTCTTCGAACACTGGTTGTACAGTATATTTCATGCGTTGCATGTGGTAAAAAAAAGCCGGAACGTTGAACGGTAAACCTATCCTGGAAGTTTCTCTTATGGGTCTCTATGGAGAGACAGTTTTTAAGTTTTTTTTCACTCTTACATTGAGACATGAGAGAAAGATGTTATTGTGGTGGGAAATTACTAACTGTTGATTAACGGACATAAACCTTCCCCCTTCAAACTCAAAGAAAGAAAAGAAAATGCTGTGTCAGGGAGTGAAATGGACTGTCGTGTTCTCTCCCGCTAGAGCATAATTGCGAACGAGTTTCTGCCGGCGTTTCTGGGCGATAACCTAAGGCCGTACGAGGGTTACAAGCCCGACATTCACCCCGGCGTGACCCACGCCTTCCAGGCGGCTGCCTTCCGCTTCGGTCACTCCATGGTGCCACCAGGACTCTACCGCAGGGATGGGGAGTGTAACTTTCAAGGGACCTACACGGGTGATCCCGCCTATCGTCTCTGCTCCACTTGGTGGGACGCGAGCCACCTCCTGGAGGATCCGTCGCTGGTGGAGGAGTTCATCATGGGGATGGCATCCCAGGTAGCGGAGAAGGAAGACTCCGTTCTCTGCTCCGACGTCCGCGACAAGCTGTTTGGACCCCTCGAATACTCGCGCAGGGATCTTGGAGCACTTAATATCATGAGAGGAAGGGACAACGGGCTCTCTGACTACAACACAGTCAGGCAGGGTTTCGGTCTCCCACAGATCAAGACTTTCGAGGAGATCAATCCTGCCATGGCGGCCAAGCATCCTGACATATTCGAGTGAGTTCATCTGCGTTAAGCCAATTCCTGTTAATGAAACCCAAATTCATTACTTACCTGTTGTAGGAGGAGGAAAGCATTTGAATCTCTTAATTTTTCAACACAAGTGCCATTCACATTGCTGAATTTATCCCATGACACAACTTTACAGCTGTTCTTTTGCGATAATGGCTGTGTCCTGAGATTGTAGCCATCGTAAAGCATAGTGCAGATGCTCGTCCGTTCGAAAAAGGTGTCTTGTGTGACCGCTTCTATATGAGACCGTACATTCTTTTGAAGGATGATGATACCATCAGAGAGTAAGTACAGGCGTTTACGACGGATTACAGCCTCCAGACGTCGTAAGATATTACACGAAGAAGTGCACAATGCTGTGCGACAATGGCTCCGATCTCAGGATACTGCATTGTATGCAAAGGGAGCCCGTAGACCTGTGTTGTGATAAGAAATGCATCAATTATAATGGCACTAGTGTTGAGAAATTTGTAAGGCAGATACATTCCAGTCGCTGAATCAGATTTTGCTTGGAGCAATTATGGGCTACATATGTACATTGTCTTCAATAGCTTCACTTATTGAATTTACCTCGTAATTTATCGTAAAGCCAACTAATTTGGCTAGTTTGAACTTTATTTTAGCTCATCTTAATCGTTGATTCTTTCTAGTTTGTATTATTTCTTATGAATTTTAAGAATTATTACAATTTTAAATTCTACTAAGTTAATTATTAATCTTGTGAAACTAATCTAATTAATATTGTGAAACATTGCTGTTGCCAAACAGGAAAATGCGAGACCTGTATGGAAGCGTGAATAACATCGACCTTTACGTGGGAGGGATGCTGGAGAGCCAAAACGGGCCAGGGCCGCTGTTCAGGAAGATCATCAAGGAGCAATTCGAGCGGATCCGTGATGCCGATCGTTTCTGGTTCGAGAATGAAGACAATGGGTAAGAGTTCGAGGTCGCATGGGGATGGGGCTATTAAGCGAGAGCCCACATAATTGCCGCCTGCATCAAGGATTCTACCAATTCTGTGGCATTGAGAGATTGGGCGTGCACAGGAAAATGGCGTGAGACATGCAACAAAATAATTGATTCAAAAAGTTTCCTTCACTTCAGCACTGAAGAAAAGCTACTTCCGTGCAGACACCTTTTGGTCTTTCGCAGGTTAAGCAATTTTTTTTAATATGAAATATTCAGTAATAATAGTGGCGAGGTCGGTAGCGGAGGCGGAGCGGGAATAAAGCTCAAAGGCAGATCTCAAGCCGAGAGGAATGATTGATGTTTGTCTCTTTTGGGTCAGGTCGAGCAGTTTTTCAGGACGTTTCCAGCCAAGGTCCTGGTTCCCCCCCCCCCCCCCCCAACTTGCTTCGGGCAACACGTTCGAAGGTAGGACCGTTAACACCGCCAAAGAAGACCTTGTGTTGTGGTCAGTCCTCATTCCCCAAGCTTGAATGGACTTCGAACACGAGAGGCTCCTTCGTGTCTGTCGTGAGAGGTTTCAGAAGATTAAGGTGACGGACCCCTCTCGGTGCCATGTCAGTAAAGGTTTGGCTTTTGGGAACGGATCCATAAAAATTCCGAAGGGATCCTATTTCCTTCCACAGCGATGGAGGCCTGGCCCCCCGCCAGTCTTGGGGTTTTCCACTGATAGAAACAATCTGAGGTTTCGAGGTTAATCGCATTTTGAGGAAGTGGAGGACGCGTAACTGGGCCGAATCAGATTTTGCCCTGGAAACGTATCGTTTGGTCACCCCCTAGTGGCTTGAGGGCAATCCGTGAATCACCGAAGCTCGAGAACGAATTGCTCAACATCGTGCTGAGGACGTTGTAGGCTGGACTCATTCCTGGGTTCGATGAAATGTCGTAACACTTTTTTCACCCGTCTCTGCCTCTCACGATCCTCTTCTTCCATCGATGATGTAACGTCGAGGGTCAAGGTGCTTACGTGCATCACTGGAAGTTTTATGAGTCGGGTTCAAGGGGAGCACCGAATCCTCACGATCCCGTAATGGACTGGAAGGGTTGGATGATTCCTCCCCCTGGCTTCGGGGAAGAATGGGGGGAAAAGAGGGGAAGGACGAGGAAAGGTCGCTTCCTCATTCCTCGGCCTTCGTCTGCACTTAAACGCTTTTGACGGGGAAAGGGTAGAGGTGGGAAAGCATGCACGCCATGCAAACGGAATCGAGGAAGGAAGGAAGCGGAACACGAGACCTGTCATCACCTTCCATGTCATTTATCGCTTCCGCATCACGATTCAGGTGATCACGGTCACATTGCCTAGTACTCAGAGGTCAACTCACCTAGCGTGAACATTCTGCGGTTTCTGGTCATTCGATCCCGAAGGTTGACAGCAGGCATTCTACCTTGGATGTGTCATGCACCAGATATGCTAATAGCTTCAACGGATTTCGTAAGGGATCATTATGGTTTACCGAATTGATCTCAATCCCATTGACACCAATAGTGAACTCAGAGCATACTAATGTTGATCGGATTTGGTGCATTCCACACTTTCACCATATTTTTCTTTGATGCCTTCTGGTTGAATGAGTTGCGACATTGAGTTTTGCGTCAATCTCCCAGAGGAATGTCTCGGATTTCATAGGATTAAATTAAGTTGCGTACAGAAGCTCCCGAATGTGATGACTCACACAACGAGAATGCATATTTCATAATAGCAGTACTCTAAAGAAAGTTTTTTTTGCATACCAGTACTGCGTGGGAATCCTCAGAGTCGTTTGTGAGGTATTTCAGTCATCTACGTCCCCTCATTTTCTCTTTTAGAACGTGTCACCATACCTTTCGCAATGTGTTTGCTCGCCAAACAGCGTGCATTCGTTGCGCAGAGGCTACAAAAGCAATGAATGAGGCGCGTCTTCTTGTATTTGAGTTGCATTCAATGGTAATTTCTATCTCTTTTGGGACAATGAGTGTCATACAGAACGGAATTCGCCTGCCTAAGTATTTTCCAATGGAGGGGGGGTCGGGTCTGCTAGCTTTCTATTCAAAGGTTGCGGCAGCACATTGCTGTGGGGGAAGAAAAGTGCTACCTCATCTAGAGAAGTGGATTTCTTTCAGAAGGCGCCCTTTTTGTTTGATGAAGTCTTGGACATGATGCTTTTCGCGCGACTTTTTCCACTTTTTTTTCTTTATGGGTCGCAGTGACGTGAGGCTTGCGGTGTGACTGTACGTGCAATTCTTGGACCTAATACTTGAAACACCCCCGCCACGAGAGCGTGTAGCCGTCGATCTATACGAATATTCACTCCACGTGGAGAAAGATGCCACGGCCCTCGTTATAAAAGGAAAGAGTGCTTGGGAGATGTGACTCATTCGTTTGTTCCTTACGAATAGCAGCGCTGCCTCCTCATCTCCAAAAAGGGTGGGGGGGCATGCTTTCATAGAGAGTAGGCAGTCATATACATACACTACATACACCAAGGTTGTTTCATAATGGATTGCACTGATATGGGATAAGGGTGGGATAGGTCGAGAGGAAGAGTCGTCCATGGGATAAGTTACAAATATCTACGGATCAAGTCGAGGAAAGTTTCGATGAGAACCGTGAAAACTTTCAGAGATCTATGATGCTTGCTTTCTTTAGGTATTCCACGTATTCACAAATTAAATCATTTTCATTTCATCACTGTAAAGCTGTGTCGCATACGAGCCCTTCATATGCTCAAAAGCTGTCGCCGGGAAGGTGTGCTAATAAGAAATACGCTTAATACGAAATTGTAGGAATCGATAGTGATGGGGAATATTCCTACAGGATTGATTGACTTCAAGGTACAGCGCGGAAAGGAAGTGGCGTAAGTTTCTCATAGCTCAATGTATTCTATAAGAAAAACAGGTAATCAAGTGGATGGCAATGACAGCAATCATTACTTCTCTCAGCGGAAAATAAGGGCGGATTCCTCGCTTGTTTCAAGTACCCGAAGCGATTGATTGCAGCTGAGGAATCTGTAATTGAGGTATCGGGATTTTTCAAGACCGCTGCGTCTTCAGTTATTTTTTCTCATGGCTCTGGGAATGTGAGCGGTACCCACAGCATCATAATTTACCCACGCTGTGCCCACGACCTACTATTCTGGGCACTATATTCTTGTCTCTATCTTTTCAAATTGAGGTGCCATGCTTATCACTAGCCCCATCCTCCCTCCGGAATAGATAGGGTTTCAGGACGCAGCCCTCCACATGAACTTTGTTAACGAAGGATGGGCTAAGCTTTCCATTTGTTCTATGAGAAACTTTTTCGGCTATTTAGCCCTATTTCACCCTGTGAAAGTGTTGGAGCATGCTAAGCACACATTTCTTTCATGTGTGGGACAACAAATGTGTACGTTTCCAAAATATTTTGAAATATGTTTCTTCACAGTTCAGTTTCCTGCCAAAGCAATGAAGTGTAATTTTAATGTGTTTTTTTTTTCCTGGCACCCCTTCTGAGCATAGGAATTGTGAAAATGGCATTGGTGAGAAAAAGGGAGTGTCTGCCAACTTGCATTTCCACTCGCCGCAACAAAACCACCTGCGTTTTGGGTTTTTTTTATATGCCCTGGGGGAATGATGAGAGCGATCATGTGCTATTCATCGACATCCAGCTCCATCCCTATCCCCAGAAGCATTTTAGAAGAAAAATGTTAACCTTCAAGTTTCCAAATAGGGAATGCACCAATGTCCTTATTTCTGACGGAAGTAGATCCCACGCAAATAATTCTTTAAAAAAAAACTTCCTCATACAGTTAGAATCAAACTCAGATAAGGAGCGGAGGTCAGTTAATTAATTTGATGGGGGATGGAAGATTTGGGGATTCGTGCCTCAGAACAAACGTTGCAAAAAAGTGTATGGAAATTGTTTACAAGTGAAAGTTCTCTGTGGTATGCGACGTGAGTATGACGTTTGATGACTTTGTTGCAGGATATTCAGCCAAGAGGAGATAGATAAAATCCGTCAGCTGAGGCTCTACGACGTGATCTTGAACAGCACGAGCATCCGTCCGGGTGAAATCCAGGAGAAAGTCTTCTTTTGGGTGAACGGCGATCCGTGCCCACAGCCGGCTCAGCTGAATGCCTCCATGATGGCGCCCTGCAACTTCCTGGCCGGCTTCGACTACTTCCACGGCTCGGAGGTGACTTACATCTACTCGTGCATCCTGCTGGCAGCCATCCCGCTGGTTTGCGCGGGGGCGGGCTACGCCGTTGTCAAGCTGCAGAACTCCCGCCGGCGCCGGTTCAAGATAAAACAGGAAGAGAGCAACCACGGGAAGGCCGTCGACAAGATGGTGGTGAAGGAGTGGCTGCACCAGAACCATAAGCGGCAGGTGAAGGTTAAATTTGGACCCGAAGAAGCGTTCTACACCGTCACGCGGAAGGGAGACAAACTTCGGACAGTCAACTTCAAGGATGTCGACAGCCTTCAGGTCAGTGGCCACTTGTATAATCACATAAACAGCATGTTAATAAGGACTGGTTTTGAACGTTGGGTAATTGGCACTTGGCCATATATACCAGTGTAATATCTGATGGCCTTTCAGTCAGCCTGTCAACTCAGTAATGTGGTTTTACACTTTCAAGATGGATGAGGCTATTGCTTTCGCAAGCGATAAAATTTATCATTAGAATACGGAATAAGTATGATCTCATCTGGCTAAATAAAATATAAAAAAAACAATTAATATGCCCGGAAAAACCTCTGTCCTCTGCAGATATACATTCCTAGGCATTTTGATAAAGTTTTGTCCAAGAGAAACAATCAGCTGGTATGAACAAATGGTCGATAATTACAAATCTCAAAACGGACCTACTCAATTAACTGAAAGTTCCGGTCTCACCAGGTGGAAGTGACGGAAGATGTGAAGAAGAAACCCATGATCCTAGTCAAGGTGCCCAAGGACTACGACCTCGTCTTGGAGTTTGACTCTGTCCATTCCCGCAAGAAGTTCCTTGCGAAGTTGGAAGGGTTCCTCAGGAGCTACAAGAAGACTCTGCAGACGAAGCCGACGATCCGAGAGTTGATGCTGGCCAGCGCCGAGACGAACGAGCGGCGCCGGAAGCGTCTAGAGCATTTCTTCCGTGAGGCGTACGCCCTCACGTTCGGCCTGAAGCCCGGGGAGAAGCGGAGCCTGGAGAACGTGCCATGCGACGTCATCATGGTCATGCGGACGTCGCTGTCGAAGGAGGAGTTTGCGGGCGCCCTCGGCATGAAACCCAACTCCGTCTTCGTCCAGAAGATGTTCAACATCGTCGACAAGGACGGGGACGGGCGCATCTCCTTCCAGGAGTTCCTCGACACCGTCGTGCTCTTCTCGCGGGGCAAGACGGAGGACAAGCTCCACATCATCTTCGACATGTGCGACAACGACAGGAACGGCGTGATCGACAAGCAGGAACTCTTCGAGATGCTCTACTCTCTGGTGGAGATCGCCAAGACGACGTCGCTGCAGGACGAGGAGGTGACGAAACTCATCAACGGCATGTTCCACGCTGCCGGCGTCGACCATAAGGACTATCTCACGTATGAGGACTTCAAGCGTCTCATGAAGGAATACAAGGGAGACTTTGTGGCGATCGGTTTGGACTGCAAGGGCGCCAAGCAGAACTTCCTCGATACCTCCACCAACGTCGCTAGGTTAGCAGTTTTCCCCACTTTTTTTTTTTCTTTTTCGTGTGGCTGTGTATCTAGTCCTGGGAAATATTTTGGACTGTGGTTTTTTTGTATATTCTGCGTGTAGTGATGAAGCATTCATTAGTCCGATTTTTTCATGATAGCAAGTTGCAAAAGTTGAGACTGTGAAGCATCCCAGAAGCCGATAGAAGACAAGGTACCGTGAGGGGAAGAAAGGAGGAGCTCTTAAAAAGAGCTGAACCCCCGTTTCCCACTGGGTAAAACCGCGTTATAAATTCAGTGCCGTAAACAAAGCTCTTATTCCTCTTCCAGATCTCAGGGACTTCGCGAGGAATTCGAGTTTTTTTTATTGCACTAATCGCGATTGGTGGCAAAACCGTATGTTGTCTCTAACCTCATCCGGTCATTTTAGCCTTCAGCAACGGATCTGAGCGAGGTCTCGCAGAGGCTTTTTTTTTTTTTTACAGCGATGTCTATAATAAAAAAAAACATTCTGTCTTGCGAGGAGGAATCGTCTGCAAAGTGCGTCTGGAGACGTTAAACAAAGACTACCCCCCAAGTGTGTCATTAGCCCTCTGGGCATGAGATGCTAGTTCTTCTATTGACTGCTATTCTCCCAGTACTTTTTTTTTTCTTCTGGTAACCTCGACCTGTCGTAATAGTTTACGTCTGCGCAGACGAGGCTTTGCAGTAATGGGGGAGATCGTTCTCTTTCCCACGTTCGTTTCAAACGCATTTTTTGTGTTCAAATATTTGCCGACCTGGCGACCCTCCCTGCAAACTCCTAGACGCGGTGCTCCAACGTCGATATTTCTCCCGAATCCGCAATGGAGGAGCGGCAGCAAGAACGGCGAAAAGAATTGAAAAAAATTGATGAGCAAGACGTGGAGTCACCTCGACGTGGGGGTGGGGGGAAAAAAAACTTGTCTTGTGTACGAAAAAAGACCTGTTTCCAATGCGGTCAAGGCCCTCGATTGTCCTGCAAGAAACGTGGTTTTTCCACCCTTACAGAACCAGCTTGCCCTTTTGTTCCGAAGTGATTCATACCCTCGTCATTCCATAACCAAATTACACGCGTTCTCTCTATGGAAAAAAAGAAAGGTTCACACGCTCAGAAGCGGACCTTACCCCCAATTCACACCTTTTTATTCCGACGAATTTAAAATGTTTGAAGGAAGATTTGTGAATTTATCTTCAATTTTGAAAAGTCTGGATGTAGACAGCTTTTTTCACGACCTATTTGTCTTTTTTTAATCATCTGGTGTGCCGAGTTTCGTCGATGCGTCGCAAGAGCTTCAAATTTTTGAAGGTCGAGAATGTACTTGCATATATGAGGCAGATTTACCAAATTCGCCAGAGTTTTTTTTATTTGTCAGTCGCGGAAAGTGGAACCGATTGCGTCTGGGAATCCGTGCTGTCGCAAGCGCCGCCGCGCAATGCATTCCTCGTGCGGCCGGACGAAACGTCAAGAATGATAATGGGAGATTCTCGATGGCTTTCGCCGAGCCTTCGTATTCATCATCGTGACAGGGCCAAGGTCTGTCCCCGGCTTCCGAATAAAAAATTGTCTGGATTGGGGAATCCCGTCTGGCCCACCCTCTACCAGACGGTATATCCTCCGGTATGTGGAGCATAAAAGGAAAGCATCTCCATCAGGGGTCGAGAACCTATGGCTCATGAGCCAAATTTGGCTCACGAGCCGAAAAGTTTGGCTCATTGAGGCATGGCTGAAAATCATTGTGGTTCCTCATTTTTCTCATGAATCGAAGAATGCGAATGTCTGTTGCCAATTCCAGGAAAAATTCTGTTGTTCTGAAAATATTTCGCTCATAAGCACTTCGCTCAATCTTAATATGGCTCGCATGACCAAAAAGATTCCCGATCCCTGATCTAGATGATCTCTTGCAGCCTGTAAAACTATTTCGAGGCCTAATGTCCGAATGTGACTGCTTGTCACGTTACTGGAGTCAAATAGAAGAATAGTATGCAAAAATTGAGTTTCAGCGAGTGAAGTGCACGGTGCAAAATTATCCACTTCTAACGGGACGACTACGTTTCCTGGTTATCGTGCGGTAAAAGTTGGATTCACCTCGCCGAATTCCATTTTGATTTTGACGTGCTTGCCGATTCGTGAATTTTGCGGTTCTGCAGGTATCGATGTCTTGCCCTGTCTAATGGTCGTATCGGGATTTCCTTTGTCCGGAGGATCCGAGTTATTACAGTTAAGCCTCGTCATAGCGAAATCGGATACAAGGAGATTCTTAGAGCGAAACGGTTTGGTTTTTTTTTTTCCTTTCCCGGCTGAATGCCCATGAAAAAATCTCGCGCACAATGAGCTTCCTTCATAAGTCGTTATATGAATTAAAATCATTTGCACGGTCTCTTGCCGCTTCGTTAAATCGGATTAATTCCTGTATTCAGTACTGTAATTTATGATTGTGGCGGCATAATTGCATCCTGAATTTGCTATGTACAGATTATTACGGATTGTTAGCGATATAACTATAAAGTTTTACGTTTTTGTTATAAACTTTATTAATTTATGGCACATAAACGTCGTAATTTCTCGTGAGTCATAGTTCTTCACGGAAACTCGTCTTATCTTCGGCGAACTGGATGCCAGTCGAGTGTTACAAACGAACGCCACACCCGATAATTCCCTTCCCAAGGCTTCAATATCGATCTTTCCCCTCAATTCCCTGGAAACCTTTCTCGTCTTCCCCCCAGGATGACGAGCTTCCGGCTGGACGCCGTGATGGACGGGCACAAGCACTGGGCCGTGAAGAAGTGGGACGCCCTCACCACGTTCCTGGAGGAGAATCGGCAGAACATCTTTTATCTCTTCGTCTTCTACGTCATCACCATCGCGCTGTTCATCGAGCGCTTTATCCGTGAGTGGAAGGGGGAGGTTCGGCCTTGGGGGTTCGGCTCAGGGAAAGGTCATCTTTCCCCCCTTTCCTTTCTCCGTGGCCTTGCGGGTGCTCATCGAGGCAGAACCGATGGGTCCCGGAAAGTATTTGTGGGGGCCCGTCTTTTTCGAGGATATCAGAGTTATGCTCGTGAGCAATTCGGAACGGGAATGCAGAATGGAAGGGGAGAATGGCAAGGAGGTCCAGGTCAACAATAATTAACATATACGACATGCTTTTTACATGCCTTGGGAGACGCTACGATCGACTCGAGAGGCATGTAATGAGCACGGTTCCAATACTTATGCGCTTGCATTACTTGTAGCGATGCGAACGACAAGGACTTTAGATGTAGGAAATGTTAGATCCCCCGTCAGTTTTGTCCGTCGGGGATCTGTCAAAGCAAACCGATTCCCGGTACGCGGACACGGATGAGGGATTCACTGCATGAGAATTGAAAGAGGGACGGGGGTCGAGAACCCCTTTAAGAGCCGGAACCATTAATGAAATGAAGGAAAAAAACGTGTCCGGTATCCTTGAAACGGCCACACCCTGAAAGTGACAGGTCACCCCGATTCGTGCATCCGCCATCCGAGACAATGGGCGATCGGGACCCCCTCGCGTAAGGCATGGGTAAGCACCATTACTGCGTCAGAGCATGAGTTACACTCGAGGATTAGTTGCTTCGGTTGGACGACACTTGACGGCCGTTTTTTTTTTTAACTCTTGGGTTTGAGGTGGGGTTGCTTGGGTCTGAGCTTCGTTCTACGTTTCTTCGGTTCAAACTGAATCGCTAACGTGCGAATACACACATTAAAGTGTAATCGTGGGATTGCGGGATCTTATTTAGTTTAGACCGATTCTAAAATCATCGCTGTGACTGATTCACCTGATGCGGCAGTTATCGATAGTTATCCCGAGTCGTTTTTTTTTTCTAGTTGGAAACTGTATTAATATGAGTTACGGGAACTTGCTAACTTGCACAAACTCCTCTATTCGAGTGGAATCGTAAGGTACAATTGATTTTGGAGTTCTATCCGCTGATCAGCTTTTTTTTAGCCCTGGGCAAGTTTCCAGTCTTGGAGTCGTCTGCTCGTGATTGACGCGTTTTGCACGTCGTGGTTAAAGGTCTTTTTTTTTGCGGGACGATTTCGTGCCGACATGATTCGAGGCGATGGAGTTTTTCGTGGCGCAATCATGAGACGTCTGTCGCAGTCGTGCCGGAGAATCTTGTCGCTCGGAATTCTCAGACACGTGGATGGGTGGGGGTGCCGTCTCGTCACGCGTGTTCGTGACGCGACAGACGTGAAGCCTGCGTTCCGGAATGGAACTTTCCGTGGAACTCGATCTAAGGCAACATTGTCTTCTGGAATAGTGCGAATGTTCCGGTGGCGATCCGGGTGGCCCCTTCCAGTTCGCGGGTGGAATCGGTCGTAGCTTTTTCTCGCATCCTGTCGGTGGTCGTTACGAGGCGAAAGTTTAGACGCAGTTGTTGCGCGAAACGTGGAGGAATCTGTGTCTGGGAGTTTATTTTTCTAAGGTTTTGGGATTCCCTGGTAACTCCCAGATCCGGTATTGTACATCCTTACGATACCGGATCCGGATCCGGTTTTGCCCCAGGGAAAGCCCGGGTGACTCTCGCGTAGGCATAGAGATGCGCTATCGCTGTCGATTCCGCTAACGCTCACATACGTCATTCCCCCTTCCCAGGGGATTAATAGACGTACGGAAAATGCATTAACTCGTCCGGTTTGGTGGGATGCCTCAGAGGGACAAAAAAAGCATGAATATGCGCGGAAAATTGATGGAGGGAAAAAGCTCCGGGTTTTTCCCGGTCAACATTTCTAATTTCATTGTCTGTTCTGGACTGATTCATATCTCATTCACTGTAGAAGATAGGACTAATGGAATATTTAATAATAAACTAATAGAAGACTAATGGAAGAAGCCCATCCTCAAGGTTCTTATCGATATTGTATTTCATCCTTATCGTCATGCACGCCGGTCAGGCGGTTTGGAACTGGAAAGAAGGAATAAGAATACCGTCTAGGGTGGGGGGGGAAAAAAATTTATATTCACTGTTTTTAATGGACCCTCTGCATGAAGAAATGGAATTTATTTCCGCATGAACTTGAAGGCCTTTAATTTTTATCAGCTAAAAACGCTGAATTTCTTGGAAACGGTTGATAGAGGCAAGCTTAGTAGAAGTGGGAAACGCCAAGGCAAGTCCACTTTTGATCAACCATATGAAGCTGAAGATTGATATATAATTGCATTTGCATATATCAAGTGGAGAAGCATCTTGACACAAAGTGGATTGTAGGTTTCACAGGATACGCAAAAGTGCAAACCACTTGCCGATTTTCAGCATTATAATTGCTAAATTGGGTGCCTAGAGAGATTTTTAACTACCGGGAAGAAAGTAAATTTAAGTAGGGCAATGGCGACATTTCTCTTTTTCTTCTCATGCTTTTATTATATTTATACGTCAAACGTGGTAGTTTAAAAAATTTTTCTGGATTGATGTGAGAACATCCGGAGGCGGACCGATGCAGAACCCTTTCGCTGTGGAGCACAAAAACCAGGTGTGTGCACCAACCTGCACGCGACGTGGCATTCTGCACGATCGCGTACGGTGGCCAGCGGGAGGCCTCGAGACGCGGTCCGGAGGTGCATGGTGCATACGCGTTGGAGTGGGGCACGTGCGGTTTGACGAGAATCTCAATGACATACCATTTAAGGCAGGAATAACTCTTGTACGTCAGCAGCCGTTTCATGTACTGTATATGCGTGCACAAAACCTCGAGGCGCGATCAAAACGCGTCGTGTCCCACTCGGAAGAGTTTGCACTTAAGGACAGCATCTCGAGGCCTCGCACTGGCCCCTGCTCAAGCTCCAGTTATGTGCTTTTTACTACGAAATAGTTTTGCATCACTCCTCTTTTGGCTCTCAATTCGGAAACTTTTTTGGACCGACAAAGTAAAAGTTATAATAATTAATATTCATGGGACGATTATGAAATAATGATGACCAAATAATTGCAGACCTAATGACTGCATCATACAGTTGACACCTTGTGATGCAATCGCTTATTATCTATGCCAAAGGTTTTTGAACGAAATGTGCCTTAAAATCTGACGTTTTTTTCGACCGAATCATCTCTTTTGTGTTAACCATTCAATGTTTCATGAAGTGCAGAACACAGATGGCAGTTTTGCTTTTCAGTAATCATACCTTTCCATAATTCATAATGGAATTCTTCATCTCAAAATTGGCTATCAGGATGCCATGGGTCGGAAGCGAGATTTCTCGGAAACTATTAGACAATAATTAGGGGGTGATTTGAATGAGAAATACATGCCATTCAGAGCATAAATGAATTCGGGCATTGTCCCCCAGAATTCAATCGTGAAGACGCCGTGAAGGACTTTTAGAGGGCATTACGTTGGTTCAATACTTGACAGTCTTATTTCTTTGGTCGAAGAAAGTCCAAGATCATAGTCTTATCATTCATGATCGAATCATAAACAATCTTATTGGGTACAGTTATCCGTTTTGGTGGGTATGGGCAATTGCCCCATCATGCTATCGTGTTAGATTTTTTCTTCCCCGTCGATCATCATTTTGCATTCTCTGTTTAGATTATTCGTTCATGTCGGAGCACACGGACCTGCGGCACATCATGGGGGTGGGGATCGCGATCACTCGTGGGTCCGCGGCTTCCCTCTCCTTCTGCTACTCTCTCCTCCTCCTGACCATGTGCCGGAACGTATTGACGAAACTGAAGGAGTTCTCCATCCACCAGTTCATCCCTTTGGATTCTCACATCCAGTTCCACAAGATCGTCGCCTGCACCGCCCTCTTCTTCACCAGTTAGTGGAGCCCTGTTGCTCTCTCTGTGGCCATTAAGCCTTGCCCAAGGGATCGACGTCGTTGCGCTGCAATGTGCGGCGGCGCGATGCGACAACAAGGGGAAATAAGCATGATCTTCAGTTTTAGGGAATTTGTTGGAATGTAGTTTCAGATCAAGACGGCTGCAGTTTCATCAAATTTAATAACGCAGCTTTCGTGATGTTATTGTAAAGTATTGAACAGTATTTCGGATTATTAGAAAAAAGTATAAAAAATAGGCAAAATGTCATAAATCATCCCACCTCGGGGTGGAGTACTATGGTTTTGTTTGCTTTCGATGAATTGGTTGTACTTGAAGAAATTGTGTCGATATGTTGTCGATAGTGGTCCTCCTTTAAAATTTAATCAACTCGTTGTCATGTATGATTGATGTGTTGACAGTTCACTGATTGTTTTAAAATCAAACATCAGCTGTTATTTTACGTTTCCATCTATACCATGGAGAAGTAATTATATTGTGGAGTTATATCACGCGGAGAATTCAAGCAGATATGTTGCAATTCGATTGTAACATTATGTATTCTATGATGGTCTTTGTTATTGCGATGTTGGTATGAGGATATTTCCCTTCAGAGAAAGTGAAAGCTGAAGTAGACTGTCAATCATGATTTATGCGAAGTGAAGGCTTCTTCATTGATGCATTCCTTGGACATATATCTCAGTCATAAATAACAAATGAGGTTGCATTGGATGAAATGATAAGTACACTGGAAAGCTGAAAAAGATTTTAAAATGGCACAAATAATCAGAAGAGGGAAGATCAAAATATAAAAAATATAGAATGTGGCAATAAAATATCAGTAATGTGTTCAAAGGTTCCTTCGCTAAAGGATCCAACCTGTTTGATTGCAGTGCTGCACACCGTGGGTCACGTAGTGAACTTTTATCACGTGTCAACACAGCCCGTGGAGCACTTGCGTTGCCTCACGAAGGAGATGAACTTTTCATCTGATTTCCACCCCACCATTGGATTCTGGCTTTTCCAAACCATAACAGGTGAGCTGAAAGAGTCTCATCTTCAGGGAGGTTCGTCCTTATAGACTCATGTCGAATATGTTACAGATATTGCTTAGTGTACTCAAGTGAAACACCTGTGAAAGTCTGAAAGTTTTTTTTTTTTTAGAATCCCTTCAGAACTCTTTGGTGTCAAGCAAGATTTAGTCAATATTGAATGTAAAATTGATGTTATAGTGAAGTTATCTGCGAATGGGAGAGCTTCTATTGTTTTCCGCTTGTGTGACTCAAGTGAAAAGCATTGAGGGATTATGCTAATGTGTTCATCGTGTTAAATTCAGCAAAATATGAAGAGGACTTAAATTGAGCATGCCATGAAACTGTGGGTATTGATAATAACTATGTTCTACAATCCTGCATGTCACATCTGGTCCCTATATTTTTTGTTCCCTGTAGGTATCACTGGAGTGATCCTGTTCGTCATTGTGTGCATCATCTTCATCTTTGCCCACCCGGTGATTCGGAAGAGGGCATACAAGTTCTTTTGGCTTACCCACAGCCTTTATGTCCTGCTCTACATCCTCAGCATTGTTCATGGCCTGGCCAGGCTCACTGGAGCCCCCCGTTTCTGGATGTTTTTCATTGGACCTGGAATCATCTTCACCCTTGATAAAGGTAATGCTTACTGCTTCAGTCTAGTTTACTCCTTGGAGTAATGATGTTCTGTTTGATTCTTTCGCTGCTATGTTCATGGAATTTACAATGTTTCAGAGTTTTGACTGTCGTTTGACATTCACTTTGTCTTTGTCCGAAATTTTTCATCTCTGTTTTGTCCTTCGTCATTTTTGTGGGTGTATTTTTTTTTAGCATCTCTTACCTGTTATTGTGTAATTTTTTCTTTCTGGGATATTTTATTATCCAACTGATGGGAAGTTTTTGTTTCTCTGATGCAGTGATCAGCCTAAGGACTCGTTACATGGAGATGGACATACTGGAGCCAAAACTCCTCCCATCTGATGTTCTCAAGATCAAGTTCTATCGTCCACCAAACTTCACATACCTTTCGGGTCAGTTTTACATCATTCTTGTCTCATGCAAGTGTAATTTCGGAGGCTTTGATCCCAGATTGTGTTCTGGCCTGCAATTATGGTTTTAATCTCTGGTGATGATGATATTGTTGGAGAAGGGATTTTTTTGTCTTTTTTTACTTTTTGGGTCACGGTCCTTCCATAATTACAGTTGTAAATATTAATGACGAAGTTCATTATTCAAGAGGGAGCTCTTCATCAAGTACAGGGTTACTGTCACAACATGTTACATGAGTGATTACATCTGGTAGTTGCAATGGATAGGGCTGGAATTGATGAAGAGGAGCAAATGAAGTACAAAGGGTCTTGTACAAAGAAATTTCAAACTTTTCCTGCTGAAGTTTGTTTTATCATTGTCCCCATGATCTGTTTTCTACAAGCTTTGTTAATTGTGTATAATGTTTCCACACCTTAGAAACACTCTGTGTATAGAATCGCTTATGCTACCAAATCTCTTCTAATCCTTTGATGAGGCATATTGCTTGAAAGAGTTGAGACAAGAAGGAAGTCGATGATGATGATGTTGACGGGTTGACATGTTGTAGGGCAATGGGTGAGGATGACATGCACTGCAATACACCCCCTGGAGTACCATTCCTTCACGCTTACATCAGCTCCTCATGAGAACTTTCTTCAATGCCACATCAAAGCCCAGGGCCCATGGACATGGAAACTGCGCAACTACTTTGATCCCTGCAACTACAATGAAGATGCTGAAAACAGACCAAAGGTATTATGTGCTCCATCATCATGATGAAGGACAGTGGAATGTCCATCAGGATCATGTACTGAAACTTTTTTTTTTTTAATAAGTTCAGAGATGATAGCATGACTTTTATATAGAAGAATGCAGGTTTTTGAATAAGTGGAAAAATGCTAATATAAATACATTTCTTTGGGTCAATAGGATGATCATAAGGATAACAGTCCTAAAAGAAAAGCTATTTGTGCTTAATTAAAAAAAGAAGAATTTCATGCAAATTTTTTTTCTCTAAATCAGTGTGCTCCTCCCTTTCGTCTGTTCCTTTCCTAATGTGTTGCTATATCATTGTTTCAGATTCGGCTTGAGGGGCCATTTGGGGGAGGGAATCAAGACTGGTACAAGTTTGAGGTGGCTGTGATGGTTGGAGGAGGGATTGGAGTGACCCCATATGCCTCCATTTTAAATGACCTTGTCTTTGGCACCTCCACCAATCGCTATTCAGGAGTTGCCTGCAAAAAGGTACTTTGCTAAAGAGAAAGAGATTTCTCTTTAGGCTTAACTTCTTAGAAGCAGTATCACCACCAGTAATTTTTTATATTTGCATCATTCATTAACCAATGATAGATGCATCATTAGCCAACCTTCTTGATCTTGGGAAGGCTCAGAGCATGTGGGATTGTCATCATGGGGTTTCAGTTCCATGCTGAACAAAAAACTGGAGCTTCAATTGTGAATACTGGTTCCTTGAGTATGCTGGAACAATTTTCACTTTGCCTTATGTTTTGATTTTTACTTTCTACAGAACTAAACATAGATGTTGAACAGTGTCTTGACTTCCTTGCCACATGTTTTCCTGAGAGACAGTACCTTATTTAAGCTTTGATATCCATTTCTCTGTGTTTCTAGGTTTACTTTTTGTGGATATGTCCAAGCCACAGGCATTTTGAGTGGTTCATTGATGTCCTGCGAGATGTGGAAAGGAAGGATGTGACCAATGTCCTCGAGATCCACATCTTCATCACACAGTTCTTCCACAAATTCGACCTCAGAACTACCATGCTTGTAAGCTCTATGTCATGAAGCATAAAAAAGTTAATGCACAAGGTATTACATGCATGAAGAGTTGGTAATGAATAAATTTGATACCTGTGTAATGTTTGAGCATCAGAAGTGGAATAATACTAATCCTTATGTGTAATATTGAACTCTTTCTGAAAGGTTATGACTCCTTGAGCAAACTATATGATGGACCTGAGTGAGTATGTTCTTTTTTGGTTTGTTGGTTTAGTACATCTGTGAGAACCACTTCCAGCGACTGAGTCGCAGGAGCATGTTCACAGGCCTGAAGGCCGTGAATCACTTTGGCCGTCCAGACATGGCTGCCTTCCTCAAATTTGTCCAGAAGAAACATGCCTATGTGAGTCTCATTCCAAATTCTTCTCTCTGCAAACCTTGTTTTTGGTTTGCTTGACTGTCAGAAGACCTGAATAATCTGATTCAAAGGCTGTCAAAATGCAAGACACTCAAAGACTTCACCAAAGCTAGTTAAAGCTTGCAATTTTTCACCTTTGCTTTTGAGTGGAAGACAATACAAGGTATATGTTAACTATTGAAGAGCATACTCTAATTTCTAAACCATCTCATTTTCCTTGCTTTGAGAAAAAAAAATTAAATTTCAAAAGGGAAGGTGATTAAAGAAGGAAGTGGATGGAATGCCAGAGCTTTATCATGTACGAATAGAGAGAAATTAATAGCTCTTTTCAATTTCTACCAACTGTGTATGGGCAGGCAAAAAGGAGCCATACCTGTTGATTGATGCATCTCTGCTCAGAGACTGTTTTCAAGGAGCTTCATTGTGCATAGACTGATATGTTCCAGACAACTTTGAAATTTCATTCAAATTCATTCTGTCAAATTAAGCCTATTCCTGATAATAATAATATTAAAAAAAAACAAATTGATAATAGTTTGACGACTCCAGTTCCATTTATGTGATTTGACTCTGCTGACATTCTCCTCCTGAAAAAGCTTTGAGAAAACTCTATGTTGATACCTTTTGATTCAATGGTTAATATTGGATAAAATGCACATCAAAACCATTGCACTATTTTGTTTTCTTTGACAGGTGAGTAAAATTGGTGTGTTCAGTTGTGGCCCACGTCCACTGACAAAGAGCATTATGGCCGCTTGCGAGGAGGTGAACAAGGGGCGTAAGCTCCCGTACTTCATCCATCACTTCGAGAATTTCGGTTAAATCTTTTAATCTTCAATATAAATATAAAAACCATAAATGAGAAGTAATGGCTCCTCGATATGTGCACACTGTGAGAATTGTGATAAAAGTGAGGGCGAGGGTGTCCTAGTGCAATAAACTCGGTAGAGAGGGAGATTCTGGCCCTTTTTTTTCTTCAATTGTGTCTTTCGTCACCTGAGAAATGCTCAATGGAAGTTTGAATAAAGAGGCAGCAGAGCGAGATGGGAAAGAGAACAATCCACGTCTGGAAAACACACAAAAAGTTATTATGTCTTTCAACAATGTTCCCATTTTGAATGAAGAAACTCAAAATTCAAGTTACCTGCTGCACAGCATAATGATCCAAGTCTTTCAGCACTGGTTCTCTCCCATGTTTTTAATGAATTTTTTTTGCATGTATACATTGCCAGAATCCCATATTGGGGCCACCCATTATATGTGCTTTCTGTGCCTTCTGTTGTGAACATGAGACTTTGTATAGTTTTTATTTATTGCCTAAGTTCATTCCCATTTTGTCCTTACACAAAAGGAATGTTCATCATTCTGCCATTCCCATTTTCGCCAGCTTTCTTCATCCATCATCTGGTTTTCTCAAGTTTTTTTTTGCTTTAAGTTCATTCTTTGCAAGAGCTGTGTCTTTTACTTGAGTTTTTTTAATAAAATGAACCTTCATTTGGTCATTACATGTTTTTATTTTTAAATGCATTATTTTCTCTCCACGTTCAAACGGTATCCAGCGAAATGCATTCGCTGTAATAATCAAGTTCTGTGGGATATCACTTAGCAACTCCGAAGTGTGTGAGGCCTGAGGAATCGACACGTGGACGTGGCACTCGTGCAGACCTTCGAAGTTTCGTGACAGCTTGATCTCTCTTGTCTTCAATGCCTGAAAGCAGGGTGTGGCTGCGAGATGCGCAATTGAATTTCTTTCTCTCCTAGGTCACGATCGAATGGAAATGATCTGATCAGCGTCTACTACACGAGCTCTTATGGGCAGGCTAAGGAGAATTCCTTTCCTTTGGAGTTCCCCTAGCATATTGAAAATAATTATAATGAAGAGTATCAGGAATAGTTTTTGTGAGTTGGCATTTCCCATAAAATAATATACGTTTTTTTAAATCTGCATGGATATGTGGCTAATGTTCCTTGAAAATCAATAGTTCAAATTATGGCAGTCTTTTGAGGCCCCAAAGCTTGCATAAGAATAAATTTTGAGATTAAATGTAGCTAAGAGACGTGAATTGGCGGTCCACTGCCATCTTGCGATCGCTTGAGCATCTCAGACATGAAAAGCCGAAAACAAAAATTAACTTAGATTTTGCTCACATTCGCTAAAAGGAACAAATTGTAAGAGCAACTTTCCTATCGGTTGGTCGACCATCACAGGTGTGTCCACTTGATAAAAGCGGCGCATAGTTTAAATCGGCAACTGGCAGTAAATGAAGAATTGAGTGCCTTCAGGATGATCCAATTTCGCCTGCCACTTGGACTGGAAAGAAGTTATTCATCTTATTCCACAAAGGAAAACCCAGGTTAAAATTATTCGGTTGGGGGGATGTATTTCTTTGGTGAGACGAATTTGGAGGAAATTTCTCTCAACTGCTGGGAAAACACATCGACCGATGCACAATCCAGGTTTCGTGATATAAAGAGTAGGTCTTGTCTTCCGTACCTGTTGGTGGTTTTCCCTTTGGGTCATCCCTTTGCAGGAGTTTCAAGAAACATTTTAAGTTCCTCATTATCTTAACACATAGTGGACCGTCACCCTACACTGCATGAGTACCTTCAGAGACCGGAAGTATTTAAGGGCTTCAAGAGCGAAACGCATTCATTGCACCAAAAAAAGTTATTTCTTTACTTAGTCACTAAATTTGGTTGAAACTTGCAGGATGTAATCTCAGATGCCTCTAGTACGTTTTCAGAGCGTGATACCTTTGAAGGCACTCACTCTTATGAAGAAAAAAAAAAAATTTGTGTATTTCGTCCTCGGTATGTTAATTAATCCTTATAACCCCAATGTGCCGATATTTTGGCTCTTCCTAATGTGTTACAATTCTGCCTGGGAGTGAAAGTGTTAAAAGGACCATGCAGCGATGTCCTTGACGGAAGAATTTTCATCTTTCCCTTACATCCTCACTAAAATCAAGTGAAATAATAAAATTGACATAATTGACGTAATTATAATTAATAAAATTGAAAATATTGACGAAGGAAACAATGAACGAAGATCTCATCCAGTAAAATTGGCTGTTCAGCCATTTTTTTTAACTTCCAAATTTAAAGACCATCTTAAACCAAAGAATCGGTTTCACGAATTTCATCTCGTTCTGAAACATGCCGCTGCAACCGCCTGCTCTCTCGGATCATGGAGTCTGTCCATGGATCCAAGTACAAATTCCAATCTTGAAGCAAGCTAGAAATGTCAAGATCTTCCGTAACCCCTGCTCTCCTCGTGCCAAGAGACCCCGAGACCACGAGTTCTTACGCATTCCTCCACATTACTCCCGCAGGCCATCTGTCATGCACATATCACGATCTTTCAAGGCTGACAGTAACTCTTGACGCAGAAGCACCTGGATGACAGAAGCATGACTCGGAAAGAAAAGAAGGAAGCAGGAGGAGCGGGAGGCGGACCTTCATCGGGAACTGACATTCGCGTAGAAATTAGAAACGTGGCAAGATAAAACAGGTCATTTTAATATTGAGCCTAATGACTTGGCGATTGGGAATGGGGAACGACCGCAAATTGGGAGAACCCATGCTGCCATACTCCAGTAGTCCTATTCGGTCTCTCCCGGTTTGCATTTCCATCGCATCAATGGGAATCACGTATGCCAATCGCTTTCTCGGTCCAAAATACATTTTTTTTGCCGGCAGTTGAATTGCCAGCTCTTGTACTCGAAAAGTCTCGGTAAGTTTTTGCTACGCATTTTAATTTTTCTCTAGGCAAATGTTCATGCCTGCACGTCCCTTCAAGATACGCTCTTAAAAAATCCACATACCATTACACCCTTAGCAATCATCAACATGATATCGAATGAGTAATCTGACAGTTATTCGAATAAACAAGGTTCGCAAGACAGAAGCGAGATGGCGACTAAATCACCCATACAGCGAGTGACTTCGTATATGCTATTGGCATGAGTTCCTGTACTTTTCGAGCGATATTTATACTTTTCTCCACGAACGATAGATGGGAAGACCTTGGAATTTTTGGATTCGACGAAAGAGGCAGCCAAACCCAACGAAACTTTGGGGAATTCCGATCTTGAGGACGGGGAAAGGAGGGGATGGGGGCTCACCTGGTGATCCGACCGCATGGGCAAATACTTCAGGGTCCAATAAGCCTTTCTCGCATCAACATTGAATTAGAAAGTAATAATTTATCCTAGGATGATATCGAGTTGATGAGATCATGTTGATTTTATGTTTCAAACTCTCTTAGGTATCAAACTCTCATCTGAAGCGCGGCGTGAATTCAATTTCCCAGCAATATTGCGACGTACCTAATTTCAACTGTGAATCAAGGTAGACTCAGTCTAGCAGCATTAAATCGATTAATTCTCTTTAACATGGATGTAACATGATGAATATTGAATCTTCAACACTTTCACGACGTTGAGTCGATGTGTCTGTGCAGACAGGGCCGAGATAATAGACACGGAAATTCCATGCTTTACATATGATTAAGCAGGATAGACCGTATTTGGTACCTTTCGTATCCTGCTTCGTACATCCCTCGCTGACATGTTCCGATGTATGCACACGAAGCCCCTTCCGATCTCTGGAAGTAATGGGTGGATTCGCACGAAACTGGGGTTGCTAATAGATCTCGATAAATGCGGAAAGTGCTTCGAATGTGGAGTTAACCGTTATCGCAAACGGGATTTATGAGACTGAGACCTTATGGGACATAGCATATGCAGCGAACCGTGCGTCACAACGAGGGTATCATGATAGCAGCGCCACTTTCAGCCCGTTGTGGCTTCTGCAAACCAATCAGTGATGCATTGTCGACGCCTCCTGCTTATATAATTCCTTGGGGTGGATATAAAATTCTTCAAATACACTTATCCATCTCGACACAATTCCTCTTACAGACTGTTCAAAGGTGGGGAAGGAAATATGAGAGGGGGAGAGTGGTAGCGCCTCAGGAGGAACGGGGAGAAAAAGACGTGGCAACCCTGCTGCATGACGTCGGATATAAAGCCATGTGGCATTCGCTCAGTGGCAGGGCCGGTCCTGCTGCTTGCACGTGCCTAATTTAACTTTAGGACCGCACAGTTCTGCACTTCCGCTCTCCAAAGTATAACGGGAATATATAACGTTAGGCCTAGCTATAGGCCAACTTCTGAGCTACGAAAGGGTTTATGGTTATGTCCACTTTTCGGAAGCTAAAAAAAATGAATGCATGGAGAGTTTGTCTTGACCGCTGCTACGGTAGCTTAATCCTAGGCCTAGGATGCCAGATAGGCCATGCATGCACCAAATAGGCCTCCAGGTTTCTGTTTTTAGTTGTACTTTTCAGATGAATCTTGCACCTTTTTTAATCGACCAGTACATCCATGCATGAAATTGATGATAAATTGATGCAATGGAGTACCAGGTGTTTGTGGCTCAAGGCCCCTGAATGCTCCTAATCCCTCTGGAATAATCTCCCCCCTCTCCACCTTTAATGTTAGAGTTTGGATGGTTATTCTTAGGGTGCATTATTACCTGATTGGACTCCACCACAGGGTTCTGTAACGTCCCACATCTGGAGAATGGAGTGCTGCATGTTCAGAGGTTGCCTTTCCCGAGAGCATTCCCAGGTCTTGCATTCACCTTGATTGATTTTGAATCTAGGTCCCTGCCACTGAAGTCAAGCCACTAACGCCCCTAACCCACAAATGCAGAAATGCATTACTTTATAGATTATCTCTCTGTAAGAGAGATAATATATCAAGTAATGCCTTTTTAAGTGCTTTGATTGTAAGGAAGTAATTAATATTCTAAATTGATTATATGTGACAGCTTTGTACTGACCTTCAGCATGCATTGTTTTGATGAGAGCAGTATTCATTGTGGGTGGAGCAGAGATGGTGTCATAAGCTGGAGATGTCATCCTGATAACCAGAGCAACATATATGACCTAGAGATTGTTGTAGGCTTACAAATGCCATATAATTGAATGTATTTTTCAGGTCATACGTGCAGTCAATCTGCTTGGGCACAATGGAGAATGACATAACTGAGATGGTTTTGAAAAAATTTGCTCAAAAACTTGCTGATAGTGAGAAGCGTGTGAGGGACAGAGCTGTGAAAAAATTCCGCCAGTGGCTCATGCTACAGACCCAAAAAGGGGCTTTGATTAATGAGGAAGATATGATGAAAGTTTGGAGAGCCCTCTTCTTCTGCATGTGGATGTCTGATAAGCCCCTTGTTCAAGAAGGACTCTCTGAGAATCTCAGTGGATTTATGCATGCCATTAAAGGAGATGACAATGTCATGCTTTTTTTGAAGTGTGCCCTGATTACAATTGGGTCAGACTGGGAGAAGATAGACAAGTATCGCTTTGAAAAATTCCAGATGCTTGTCCGTCGCTTGATCCGCCAAGCATTTGTATGGTTGAAGAACAGGAATTGGGAAGCTGAGGCAATTGAGAAATTTATTGCTGTTATGAAAACCACAGTGGTGAATGTAGAGCAACCTCATTTGTCAGTGATTCCTATTGGGCTAAAGACACATGTCTCTGATCTCTACTGTGAGGAAATGGCCAAGATTGGGGGGGAGATGTTATCCTCTGAGCAAGTTTTCTCTCTTATCAAGCCATATGGAGAAGCACTGCAAGAGTGTGAAGATTCACGGCTTTCCAATGTCATATCAAAGAGAGTGTTTGAATACTTGATGCGCCAGTCTGATGTTGGTCTCAAGCATGAAGCCCAGGCTGCCACTGGAGTTGAGCTTGATGAAGATATGGAAGAGGAGGACAATGAAGAGGAAAGTGATGAAGAAGATGAGGATTTCTCCACATCTGGAGTTCTTGATCCCAGAGCGGGTAGAGTGGATGTTGCATTGCCACAGCTACCTTTTGATTTCCACAAGTGCAGCGATTGGTTATTTGAGCTAGGTGCTCAGAAGTCAGTAACCCAGAAGAACCGAGAACTCATCTATGACTTGGCCAAGAAATTTGAAGTTATTTCTAAGGGTGACTTTCCTATTCCATGCCTTCAAGTTCCTCCTCCAAAACTGCTGGATGAAAGGGTGCCAAGGGCTGAAGTACAAAAGGCCATCAAGAGAGCCCAGAAAATGGAGTTAAATCTTCAGAAGGAATCAAGATTAGAGAAGCTTAAATTGAGTAATGGAAAAATCAGGAAAAGAGGTAAGCGTTCATCAAAGAAGAGGAGAGTCAGATAGACGTGTCAACTCACTTTATAAGACCTTGCACTATGTGCATTTCTTTCATGGAAATCATGCTTTGTTCTTGATTTTGGAAAAGAAAAAACTGTTGGCATTCAGCCATGTGCTGAATTTCTTCTGTACCATGTTCATATTTGTGAAGGATTCACAAATCTTCATTTCTATAAAACTTTAATTTTTTTTTCTTGTGTGTACTTGGCTTTTTCGTGTGGGAATGAATATTGTATTGAATGGCAATCAAGATAGAACACATCACAGAAATGAGTAAAAGAAAGGTGGAATCATGAAGTAACTTATTGAGGAATCAAGTGACAGGAGGAAATGAAATGGCATACACTTGGGAAGGTCTTTATCTAGCAATGGATAGGAAATGACTGGTGATGATCATTGCAGTTTTTTTTGCAACTTATTGTATAAGGACTCCTTGCAAAACCAATTTTCTTTGTAGGAAGGCTGTTCAGAGGATGTGAAGTGGATGAATAGAGAGAAAATTGGTGCTATCAGAGAGTTAGCTAATGGGGTGGAGAGTGGAGTGGGTGGAGAGAGAAGAAAAATATGGGAAAGGGGACTAGTAGCTTGAATAATAATAGCAGGGGGACACAATTATTAATTGCATATGTATTTATGAGAGTTATTCCTCTGCAGCTTATGCAGTTGTGGTAGATGAAAAATATTTTCAATACACTCTGTGGAACAGGAAGTATTTTTGTATAGTCCATATCCTGAATCCTTGTGCATGCAGTAGACTCTCAAAGAGTCAAAGGGTAATGAGGTTCATAAGATGAGTGTCATTGCTGATGATGACAAATGAGAGCAATAATGTTGATGAAGGGGTATTTTTGTTTGACGAATGCTGAGCTTTATGGCTTGCCCTCACATCCCTCTTTCCCTGAAATTTCATTTTTAGAGTCTTCTATCAACAATGTTGACAAGTGCTAATTCCTTTTATGGTGGTCCTCCGGCGAGCAGACAATGCCACTGCACAAGGATTCAGGATACAGACTATACACAGGTTTACTGTAAATCTTGCTTGATGAACTCATTGAGGATATATTGGTGACTGTTGAATATACTTGATATGCAAGTCTCATACATGCAGAATTGGTAGGCATACCATATCACCAGAAGCAACAGGCAGTGGGTTTGATCCTATACCTCTCATTCTTGAGATATGTGCTTGGGTGAGGTTCTGCAGGCAGATATGTGAAGTTTGTATCTACTTACAACCTACTATATAGAGTAAGGGGGTGTGCAATACCATATCAGTATGAGTTACCTTGTTGTACCCTGGCATCTCCTCCTATTGTTGTCAGAGGGAAGTCTGCCTGGTAACAGTTTAGGGCAGTTGATCTCATTCTGTTATGAATGGCTTGCAGTGGGTAGCACCCCACAGATATCAATGTTTGGATATCTGTGAAGCCATGAATATGTTCCAGAATATTCTTTAAGGTGCCCTTTGCAAATTTGAACCTCCAGAGTTCTTTTACTTCATGATCAGCCATGATAAATACTTTATCAGTCTGATTTCCTTATAAAAATTCTATATTGCCCTTAGGCCTCGAAAAGATATGAATCAGTTTCATCAGTGCATTTCATGTACAAAGCAGAAGCAGGTGATCCTCAATTGTTGTAACTTGTGTATCATTTTACATCAAAACACTAAACAACAGTAATAATAAAAGCTAGAGTTTATTTGGACATGGTTTCAATTTACTGTGCAGATTGAGAAAATTGTGAGATTTCATGAGCATTCATGAGTTTATAATGGGGTTTTTCAGCAGAGTATAGGTACCCACATCATTTCATCATTTTATTCTATGGGAAGCAACATGTTGCAGTAACTCTTGACACCCCATGGAAATTTGGTGCTGTGTTTTAATAGTGAGATCTCATGGCAAGTGAAGAAAACACTAAGGCATTCTCTGTGATGACAAAGTGTTGTCAAATGTAGGGATTAGTTATATCTATTAATAGCATGATGACACATTGTCACCATTGATAACGAAGGATTAATGACCTGTGAATTGACAGAAGTGGAAATGTAGTTGTAGTTGCATGGGCTTATTCCCTTGATTTATCTCTGAATTTATTTTTTCTGGGGCTATATGAAAGCATGTTGCAAGACAGCAATGATCTCAAGGACAAAAATTCATATCCACTTTTCAGACATATTTGAGGGACTGGCATCACTGTTGCTGCTGGAAGGAAACAAAAGAAGAATGGCATGAGTTCATAAATATTGGCCAACTTTACTATTTCTTCATAAATTTTTGGGGAAATATTTTTACAAATTTTAAGTTTTTAAATTGGATAGGATTGAATTTAGGGAAATTTTTTGAGAAGCTCACATAACTATTCTGAAAATTAGATTTTTAAGTTTAAAAATATTCCTATATAGACTAAGTAATTATCAAGTTTCATTTCTGTTAATTGAATACTTTGGGGATAAATGAACTCGGGAACTGTAAAGGGATTTTATGGACACCTTGCATAATGAAGCAGTAGTTAACATGATTATACTTATGTTACTTAATTGTTAGTAATGTATAATGGTATCAAGGCTTAGAAGTTGTTGAAGAAAAATAGTTTAATTGGTAATTCATTAGCATAAATCCATTCCAAAAAATGCTAATTGCATCTGATCTATAGTAAGTACTAATATCTACAGTTTTAACAAAATTTTCATTACAGATATGTTGAGATGAGATGACACTGTCAACTGTTTTCATTATGCCAGCATAACGTGGTTCTCATCAATACTTGTCAACATTCCCGTTTCTAAGTTGAAGGAACATCTCAAGATGTCTTATCAAGATGACATGCGAAAGAGACGTGGTGACTCTTCAGATTTCCATTCAGTGTCAATGAGAATGGATGCAGCCAAAAGTGAAAAGGGCTCTCATAATCATTCTCATCATGACCATTCGAATCTCCATGGAGACTATGGGAACATAGCTCTCCTATATTTATTGTATATACTTCAAGGCATTCCCCTGGGACTGGCAGCAAGCATCCCCATGATCTTGGCCAACAGAGGGGTCACTTATAAGCAGCAAGCAGAATACAGCTTTGTTTCATGGCCTTTCAGTATCAAACTACTCTGGGCTCCTATTGTGGACTCCCTGTTCTTTGCACGGATGGGTCGACGGAAGACATGGTTGGTCCCCACTCAGTATCTGCTTGGGATTGGCATGTTGTTGCTGTCCTATCATGTGGATGACCTTTTGGGCGAAGATGACAACCCAGAGACGAAGCCTCGTGTGGCTGCCCTGACTGCAGCTTTCTTCTCTCTCAATTTCCTTGCTGCTACTCAAGATATTGCTGTTGATGGATGGGCACTCACAATGCTTAAAAGGTTCTTCCTTCACATATTTGAATACTCCTGATGTTTTGCAGTTTATTTAGGCATCTTTATTTTTTTTCAAATTGGAACATCATGCATCTGTGTGAATTTCATGGTGATTTTGCAGTGTATCATGGATTAGAACAATATACTGTTTACACTTACTAATCCTTTGCTGATTAGTTCCTGGAATGGATTCTATGAATAATACTCTCACTTACTTTGTTGTATGTAGCCTGAGCATTTGAACCAGTAGTGTTCTTTTCTTGCTTGAGTAATTTTCTTCAATTTACAAAGATATATTGTGGAAATTGGGGAAATGTGTATTACCTTTTATGTATAACTTTATGGTTGGTGTACTAGTGTATAGAAAATTAGGCTTGGAAACTGGTAACAACTGCTATTACTCCCCTTCCCCCCCTACCTCAAAAAGGAATTCCTAAGCATTGCTCTGACAGCATCCAATTAGTATTTTTGGAGGGCAATCATCTTGACTGCTATTTCCACTTCTTTCCATTAGGGAGAATGTTGGCTATGCCTCTACATGTAACAGTGTTGGCCAGACTACGGGATACTTCCTTGGATATGTAGTTTTTATGGCCTTGGAATCAGCTGAATTCTGCAACACATACATTCGTGCTCAGCCTGCTGACAGGGGTATTATCACTCTTGCGGGTAAGTTCTTTACAACTGCCCACTCCCTGAATATACTAGTGGTTCAGCGTGTAGGTTTTATTTTTTTATCAGAGTTTTATCTCAAAATTTTTTTAAGTGTAGCTGACTCCCTCCCATAATGAATGGTTTCATTCCCTCCTATTGAAAAATAAGAATTGATTTTTGCTGCTCCCAACAAGTCCTGGCCTTTGAATTTCACTATAGAGTACTGGATGTATTGCCAGTGGTACAAAATAGTGATGTTTTTCAAGTAAGTAGTGCTAACAATTTGCTGGAAAATAAATCAAGACCTGAATGGTTGAATGAGAAACTCTTGTGGAATCAAGGTTCTCTCTGATTGATGTATAATGAGAAGCTTGATGTATGTTATGAATCTGTAACTATGTCCTGTGGCTTTTTTCAGGTTTCCTCTACTTCTGGGGAATAATATTTTTTTTTACGACTTCACTGGTGTGGCTCCTGAAGCATGAGAAAGCTGATGATGAAGTACCCAAGGGGGATGACGTCGACTTAGGAATCATTGGAACATATAGCATGCTTATGAAAATCATTAGCCTTCCTGCCATTCGCATCATGGCCCTCTTCCTGCTCACCTGTAAAGTGAGTCATCAACTGCATCACAGTACTAGTACAGGATGATACTAATCAATGGGTATGAAGCTTGGAGATATAAATATAAAGAAGTGGACATGAATAATGTAAAAGGAAAATAATTGCAAGAGTGAGACTAGTTGCAGTACTATGATTATCTAGCCAGTCAGTTGGACAGATGAGTAAGAACATTTTGACAAATTCTGTGGGCCACTGTGATCCTCTTCCTTGCTCTGCAGAGTTCCACACCCCCACTTTGACTGTTCTACACTGACAAATGCACTTACTTAGTGCAAGTGCAAATCTGTCTTAATTAACACGTTGGCGACAATGCGTCCTGATGCCAGGATGCAGTTTTTTTTCAATGAATACCCTCTGGAACTGTTGAGAACATTCCAGAAGATTATTATTTCGTAATTACTGATAAAAATTCAAAAAAATTCAACATTTTAAAAAAACTAGGCAAAAAAAATGTTTTCTGGGACCATGCGTCCTGATGGCAGGACACATTTTTTGACAAAAAAAATGTGCATGGTCCCACGCGGCAGACAAGCAAAAATAGGCTGGTCATCAACGTGTTAAGGGAGCTCTTTGGAAAATTCCTTAGGAAGGGGGCATGGTAGAGTGTACTTGAGTGGATGGGGACATATGTGAAGAAACTTTTATGTTGAATGCAGGTGGGGTTTGCTGCAACAGACAGTGCTACGGGGTTGAAGTTGGTCGAGGCAGGTGTGGCAAAAGAACGGCTGGCTCTATTGGCTATCCCTCTTGTCCCACTCCAGATCCTTCTCCCTCTCTTCATCAGCAAGTACACTGCAGGCCCGATGCCTATGAGCATCTTCCTGAAAGCTTTTCCTGTCAGGTAGATGCTGTGCTTCCTTCCTGTTGCCATCCAATATCCAATACTTTAATTGAAAGAGGCCAAAAGTTGTGGTGGTTGTCACCCTCTAATGCATGAAGCCTATGCTGCTATGCCATTCTATGAAAACTTCTGAAAATTTTGTAATGTTTGATTTGAACCAAACTGCTTCATATCTTTTTGTAAACATTTTCAAATTTCTGCCCATTAGACAGTCAACATAGCAGCCACAGGCCACTAGTTCTCTATTAGGATAAAATATGAAATGATGGAAAAGTACAATAAGATTCCTGTTTCATATTTTGCTCTTATTTTATATCATCTGTGAACCTAATTCAATTCATTGCTTAGCATAAACATTTCTGGCTTCATGCATTTCATCACACCTAGATTTCAGCACCAAAACTTAGTACCTTTACCAGAGAGATGCAATGTTCTGTAATGGTCTTTTTTTTCACCTGTAGTTCTTATGATTCAGGTTGGCATTTGGGCTGGTGTTCTCATTCATTGTGTATGTGACACCCTGGTTTGAGATAAAGAGCATGGATGGTCATCACTTCCCATGGTACTACTATGCCCTCATAATCTTTGTGTATGCCTTACATCAGGTGAGTGGACCTCCATCTTTTTTTTAAAATCAATTTCTCTTGCTCTGTATGAGGTATTTACTTAGATTCTCATGATTTCTCTGGAATATGGAAAATCAAAGGCTGGAAAAGAAATCCTGTTATGGATACAAAATAAGAAGTTTCAAATTGCTGCTATATTTCCTTGTCCAAAATAAAGTTTTAAAGTAATCAGTGTGAATCAGAGTGAAAACCAAATGTCTGTTACCCTAAATTTAGCATTTTCAATTTTATTTCTTCAATCTGACATATTCGGTTTGAAATTTGCATTTTCCCCAATTAACACAGTCAGTGAATATTTTGAGAAACTGGAGAATTTGATCTTTGTGTTCCAGGTAGCAGCTTATAGCATGTTTGTAGCAGTGATGGCATTTTACGCTCAAGTTAGCGACCCTGCTGTTGGGGGAACATACATGACACTATTGAACACCCTAACAAACCTAGGTGGGAACTGGCCTTCCACCCTCATGCTGTGGTTCCTTGACAACCTCACATGGAAATCCTGCTCTTCCTCTCCTGACATTGACTGTTATTCTGAAGCAGGCAAACAGGTGCAGTTTCTTTTATGCACTTCTGGGTCTTATATCCCTGCCAATAATACATTCAGAACTCAAACTTTGTAAGAATGTACATGAGGCACTCTGAAAGCTCACCTACATCAAATGATCACATAAACTTGAATTCTCTTTTAATTTACTCATTGACTATGTGGAGGTCACATGTCAAATTGAAACCCTAGTTTTAATCATTTTTGTGAGAGTGAATGAGGGAACTCTGAGAGTTGGTTGCTACTCTATGCCAGCTGATGTCCCCAGAGCTGAGTGTGAGAAGGGACAAATTTTGTCAAATCATTACTATCTGTTGCTTCAGAAGTGAATCTCATCAGATGTCAACTATTTTTTTACTCTAAGATATTACTCTAAGTCTGGGGATCTAAGTCTTGATTGCTGGTTCAATGAATTTCATCTCAGTCTTGGTGAACCCCATAGAGACTGAACTTCTCAAGGTTAATTGCTTTGGGCTTAAGCTCCGCTAAACCATTGGATAATATATGTTGAAAGAGGTCTCCCATCATTGAGTGTATCTTCAACGGAATCTTAAACAGACTGAAATTCATCGAATTAGCATTGAGTGGTTCTACTTACGAGGGTCACTCAATAAGTTATCTACCTGAATAAGAAAGAAACATCCGAGGGG